GTTTATTGCTTTTAATTAGACAAAAATATATCAGGACCATTCGCAAGTTAGCCTTTAAAATGCATTTTTTAACTTTAGAATTCAGAACAAAGCCTACAAAAATTCCTAAAACCAGAAATTGAACAGGTAACTATGCTGAAAGACAGTCTGGAATTTCATTGTGGAACTAAATTACTTCCCTAGAAGGTTCTCCCCAGCTACCTATTGAAGATCATTAATGATGTGTGAAATGACAGCTCCTTTTTCTTTTCTGATAAACCTTTTCCTTTGACATGTGGAGATGGTCTCCCTGACACACAAGAGAACTAAAGCTGCTCATACAGTCCATTCAGACTCTTAGTCTTGGCAGTGATACTTTATCAGAGCCTGGGGAGGAGTGGAGCTTTCTGCTTACTCTGGAGAGGAGTAGAGAAAGGGAGATGGGATCAAAGCAGAGAAATGTTGAATGTGCTCCCACTGAGTTTCCCAGATACCTCATCAGAAAAACTCTTATTTAAAACCAAGCCAACAAACAAACTGCTGGCACATGCAGACTTTGAACAAGCCAGTAGCTTGACATAATTCAAAAGCAAAAAAAAATTGTTACCTATTATATTAAAACTTTTCTGTATGATTTATAATGGTGACAAAAATGCACTCCCTGAGAAAAAGCACTGTTTCTGTCCCAGTGACAAAAACAGCTGGTCCACCTCACTTCTAGTGAGCTGTTTTTGCTCAGATGGCAACTGTCCATGGGACAGGATCAGTAACAGCCTCTATGAACACTCGTCTTGCTATTCCTTCCACCAAGAAGGTTGATTTTCTCCACTCTCTCCTCCAGTGAAAAGTCCCTGTCCATATCCTCCATCAAGAGGCAAAAAGACCCTCAGAGTGAAGGTGACATCTTCCCTGCACCTGCAGCCACAGCAAACCAGGCAGACATGCAAACAAGTGCTGCAATTCACTGGTGAGACCCGGGTAAAGTTTCTGTACCATAAAGACTTTGCAACCTGCAACTTGCTTCACTCAAAGTACAGAAATAATTAATGTGCAGGAAAATACAAGATAGCTTAAGTATGAAAATGAGTGTTGAAACTGTGGAAAATAGAAATACTTCTTGACAAGTAGACAAAAAACAAAAGCCATTGAGAATGGTCCCATTTTGAGAAGTGGAAAAGTACACAAGAATCTCTGTGTGGGATAAAATATGGTGTCTACTGTAATAAACCTGTAAAGACTTGGGTATATTTAATATTCAACCCAAAGTAATCTCACTGAATTGAATGGTAATCTGCTTACAATATTTAAGGTAAACATTGGCACCTGGAATTTCAGGGGAAAGCGAAAAAGCAATAAAAAGAAAGGGGGAAAAGGGCCACAAGAAGAGATAAAAGCAGGGATACAGGTAGGAACAGAAAATGGGAATAATAAAACAAGGGCAGGTTTCAAGTGGACTGGGCTGCAACAGTTGACAGTGGTTGGAACTGTCGTAAATCCGTAAGATTAGGAGCTTTTTTTTCCTTCTCAAACCCTTTGACTCACTGTTGTAACATGAATAAGAGAAAGTAATGCACTTTGGAAATGAACTACAGTTACACAGCTACTTCCTAACCAATTAGGACAAGGGCTCTCAAAACTCCTCATCTCCCAACAATGTAACGAATGCTACGTTAATGTTGCTTGCCCAACACAGAACTGTGGTATAGATTGTGCCACAGTTATGGACTGAAACAAAAACACACGAAGCAACAACGGAGAGAGTGACGCCCAGGGATGCTGCGAGCTTTTGATAAAACAATTTTTCAGTGCAGGAGGAGTTATTTTCTTGTGCAAACAGGCATATAATTACTACCCAGTGCACTGCTTCTCATTGATTTCTACTTGGCACAGTTTGCCAGATGCTGTTTGGTCGGAGTGTTGCCTTGACCTCCGCTGGTGACGCTGGCCCCTTTCGCTTTGTGGCGCGGCATTTTCCCAGCAGGGAGGTCCCACCCCTCAAATAGTTCAGTTGCAACTTTTGCTGAAGGCTTGGGGGTTCCCCATATGTTGCAGCGTAGGGGACAGCCTGGCTGGAATTAAGTCAGGAGTGGCGTCCAGCCCTGTGGCTGGAGCTGGCCCAGAGGAGATTAGAAATGCCCCAAAACTAATTAAATATTTTGTCTCCTGCTGGTAAACAAAGGCGAGCGAGGGCAAAAATACCAAATGCCTGATTTAACTGGGATCTGTAAGTAGCTTGACAACAGCAACCCTGAAGTCAGTGATGCATGATTTAAAAGCCCCTAATGGGTCAAAGCTGTTACACAAATGAGACTTCTGTTGATTATCCTTCGCTTTATATATTTGCAAAACTGTTACATAAATGTACTTGCTATCGGTTCTCAGAGCATTTCACAGCAGCATTTCTGGGGTAAGAGCCATGCAGTCCACACACTTATTTGGGAGCATTCTTAACTTTCCCTTTTGCACTAATAAAATACAGGAAAAAATATAATAACCCAAGAAAATATGTGCAAATAAGAAGTGTCAGCATTTTCAGTTGCATTTTCAAGGATCTGAACTGTCAAGTGTTGCTTCACAAAAATGAATGGAAGAATTCTCTCATTTAATATCTAGTAACATTTTTTAAACGTTGCCAGCTAAGTACCTTTTCAAGGCACTTCTATTTAAATAAATACATATAGAATATATATATTCAGTTAAATTATTTAAATGCAGAATAATATATATTTAATCAGCTAAATTATTTAAATAATGGATCTAATGCTTTTGATATATACAATTCAGATTTAATGTATTCAGTTGTGTAAATTAAAAATCCACCCTCATGGTATTTGAAATGTTGTGTGTCCATAAGGGTATACTATATTTTAAAATATACTAGTGCAGACTTAACTTCTTTCCTTTTACAAATGTGTCATAGCTATCATGTAAATATTCCATGAATATGTTTTAGAATGCTAAGTGAAGAAATGTCCTACAAAAATCGTGTCAGGAAAGAAAATGAGAATTCTAGTTTGATGTTCTCTATACTCATTTCCCATCCATGCTCAGCTTCATGTGTTTCTGCCATCCTACTGCAGTTAATGGGACTTATCCAGTGTCCAAGGACAAAAATTGCTGGTTGGTTGGCCAGGACCTCAGTGCAAAATGCTGTCAGTGTGAACTAAAAGTGACTTGTTACTGAAAGCAGAGTATTCACCTCTTCTGGGAGGGCCTGTGTTCAATCTTTATATTTTCCATGAGGCTATTTTTACTTTTTTTTTTTTTTTTTTTAATCTTTACTTTTTACTCTATTTGCTGAAACTTGAAACAGTGATAAATGGCAAGGATGAAATATATGAGTAAAAGAAGAGGAAACCTTAAAACCAATCGATAGATACATATATACTCATATAAACACAGGCAAAAAATAAATATATATCTCACTTCATTTTCATAGTATTTTACCACTAGATTTTTACTTTATAATTTAACTGTTCTGCAAATTAAGTAATCCTGGCTCAGTTAAGGTAAAAGTTTATAGCAATGGCTGTTGTTGCAATTAATGCTTCCCAAATGAACTCCGGTGGCTCTGTCTCTGCTGCCCAGCCAGCTGAGAGCCCACGATCACACACATATTCCACATCTGCTCCTTTGTCCAGGTGGACAGAAGGACGCCACAAAGGTTTCCTCCATCCAGAGAGAGGCAGTTCTAAAAGATTAGGATGTCGCAGTCAGGCACAGGGTGACATTTGATGGTTGGGATGTTGGGATCCCCCAGGTGGCCCCTCTCCAAACACCAACGGATCGGATGTGACGGGCGTGTTGGAAAAGCTACTGCTAAAGGCAGTGGTGAATAAAGGAACACTTCATGTCCTGATTGCTCACAGAGCAATAATAACAACAGTGCTGCCTTTAGAATGCACACAGGACAGTGTTTCCCATCAGGTATGTGAGAATAAAATGTGAGAAGCCATGATTAGAAGAGCAAAAATCTCCCTTCACCCACTGTCCATAGCAAAAGGACTGAATATGTGATAGTAAAAGGCTTGTCGGTTGGGTTTTTTTCTCCCATGAAGTTAGCTGTTTCTTTTAATTCCTTATTTTGTCAGGATTCCATTTCTTGAATGTCAGCATTCTATTGGATTTTCACGGAGTTTTGAATTACTTGAGGGTGGAAAAGTTTTCCCAGACTTAATTATTATCATAGTGGAAATTTCAAATGAAGAACCTCAATAATTTTTACAGAAATATATTCAGCCTCAAGGAAACAGGTTTCCTTGTTTCCACACAAAATAAATGACACAATCATCCTTATTTAATCACATACATTGGGGTTTATGTCATCGACTACTCATGGACTGTAAAAAATGCAGGAAGGCATTTCTGTTGCAGCTGGCCTTGTTCACATATAATTGAGAAGTAAAAAGGTAAAAAAGCTTAAAAAAAAGTCTCTGAGCACAGTAATAATGATATTTATGTAATTGAGGCTCACGGAAAAATGTGCTTTGAATAATCAGTTTAAAGAACTAGAGATGTTTCTAAAGTCACCAGGAAAACTTCCCATCCAAGTTCTACAGCATCAGAAACAAACCAAACCCCCCAAAACCTGAAGGCCATGAACTGGCAACACAGAATGTATTTTCAACAGAAAATTCCTAGATATTTTACCACGGAATATGACAGATTTTTCCATATGTTTACATTTCTAATTAAATCTGGACATTGTTCTCCTATACCTAAATCCCAAAGCATCAGCACAGATTGCTTTGTGGAATGTTACTGTCTGCAGTACACCTTGGGGTCACCACATTAGATGATGGCCTTATGAAATGCAGAAAAGACCAACAAAATACCCAATAATTCAAGACAGTGATTCAATAAGAGTCTGAAACTATGAATAATCCTGGCACATTGCATGCAGATTCATTGCCCTTACTCTCCAACCTCTAGCAAAAGCACGTGTCTTCTTTGAGGTGAATGGAAAGCCTTTAAGCATCTCAGGCACTCAGAGAATAAAGAAGCTGTAAAATGCAAAGTGCTCAATGAAGAGGAAACAAACCCAAATATTTTATTGGCATCCTCTGAATTCTGAGGAGCATGGCTGACAGAACAGGAGCGTGTGTGACTGCCCAGGCAACACCAGCCTGTCTCCATTTCTTCCAGCAAGGTTGTTTTCTGGGAAGGCTGGGAATGTTTTCTCCCCCAAAGCACACAGGTAAAACACTGCACAAGGCCTTGGCACAGGTACAGCTGGAAGAGGCATGTAAGCAAAATTCTTCTAGTTAAGAGAAGATTGGCAAAATCAGTCTCAGGGGTCAGTAAGATGATGGAAAACAACAGAGGAGGGAAAACAAACATACAGAACTTGCGATCTCTCTTACTTTTCCTTGGCTGGCAGGAAAGGCTGATAAAAGTGATGAATTCATATTGCACTGTTTTAAGGATCTAGATCCCACTTCCTTTTTGTTCATCTCAAAATCCTAGGGCATTGCACAACTTAATCCACCCTCCCCATCAGCAGGGAACATAGCAAAGATTACACCTCCTGAAGTACAATTCCCTTTGGAGCTCTCCCTGGAACTGACTGTCCTGCCTTTCAGTCAGTGCTAGTGCTTGATAAGATAACCGAATCCTTTGTTAAGAACTTCCAAAAGGGAACAGAAGCACCAATTAATTGCTATTCTGACTGGAACTAATTCAAAGGTGTCTTCTAGTACCTTGGGATACAGTGTGTTCTGCTTTGGAGAGAACCAATCAGTCAGAGATTGATGAAGGGGTGATGAGGTCAGGTTTGCAAATATAGAACCATCTGCACAGTCTCCTGGGTTGGTACCTGCAACACAGTAATTTACCGGAGCAGGTGTTTCCTTTTAATATACATTTTTTTTTCTGCTGAAATCGTAACTTTATTGAGAAAGTGCCTGCAGTTTGTTATTAAGAGGGTACTTTTTATCATTGTTGCTATTAACTATTAACTGCTGAAACGTTTCTGAAAGTTGTACAGGTAAGAGGCTGTGATTTTAAATATTGAAGTCAATCTGACACATCTTCAGAAAGCTGCTACAAATAAATGTAATATAGTCCAAGAGGCTGTTTTTAAAACACTGAACTTTGTTTAGAAGGGACTGGAATTATCATGGTCATTAAGAACATGATTTATTTCTGTTTACAGCCATAAATAATTATGAAGAAAGAAGGCTTTCTGAAACAAAAGAAAAATTCCAGAATTCCAGCTGGAATTTCCCACCTGACTTGAGCTTTGTGGGCTGTATAATCTGCCAAGTCCCCTCTGGTTTGGATCTAAGGCACAGAAAAAGCTCAGCAGATAATATATCTGAATTCAAGCTCAAGTTCCTGACTTTGCTGCACCTTACTCTGCTCCAGCTCTACAATAATCCACAAAATCTCTTCTCTGGCCAAACATCACTCGACCCAACTCCCAGATCCTGTGAACTGGCTTTGCATCATTAACGTCCACTGCGGGCCAACACTGTTCCTCACAAACCTCCCTCCAGAAACGTTCTTGAGAATGTTCCTTGGCTTTGCCTAATATATTTTATCTACCCTGTAATCCCAACATTAAAACCCAGGGATGTCCTTCTTTGCCAGTCAGTGAGGCAAAAATGCAAGTCATAGTGAACCTCTCACTAAAGAAACAAAGAGAGTTAGAAATGTTTGTTTTTTCATGTTCTACTTTAGATGTTAAATCTAAATGTCTTAGTCTAAAACCAACTCGTGGGAAAAGAACCCATATACACTTCTGGTGTGACTATCTGGTCATATACTGGGTTTTGTTACTGCACTTTCCTCTTCTTTTGAATTTGTTAATTAAGGTTAGGGATAAACTTTAGGAATTAAAAGGACAGTGACTCAGCAACTGAGAAAAAACCCTTGGTCTGTGTTTAAGTCTGGTAATTAATGATAGATTTACTCCTCTGGGGGAAAAAAGTAGATGTCAGAATCAAACTGCTTAATTGGCAGATTTTTCAGTTTTTAATTGAACTAATTTAATTTTACCTGATCAGGCATCACCGTTAATTCTAATTTAGGGGGTTGATTTTTTTTTTTTTTTTTTACTTCTGGGAAGGTCCCCTCTGTTCCCAGCGTGTTCCTCTGTCACTCTGATGAACAAACCTCTGATGAGACAAAGAAATCTTTACTTTCCCAGAAATAACTGCCTCATCTGTTGCTAATTTCCCTTCCATCCCTTATGGAACACATGGCTCCTTTCTATGACCTCTTGCTGTGTGCACATTCATGAAATCTTTTCTTTCCTCTCCTTGCAAATGTTTCCAAATTTAGTAACAACTTTTTAATGTATGTTTTCTGCCTATTCTCATCTACATAGCTTAAAAATAAATGCAAAGTATTATCATGAATCCTTTAAGCAAATCTGTTAAATGGCTTACTGAATTATAAAAAAGTCTTCCCATTTTCTTTCCATCCCTTTCAGCTCTACATTCATTTCCAAAGCAGCAAACTTGCATGGTGTCTGTTGCTCAGTATTTTTTTCTTATTTTGCCTCGTTTCTCATGGCTGTACCTTCTTCCTGACCCCCACAGGAGCTGTGCCTCTGCAGAGTAAAATAAGCAAATGGGCATTTAAATTGTCATGGCTGGGCTGTGGGATCAGTTGGACACTCCCATGATAAATAACACTCACAAGCACAGGAATTTTTGGAATTGTGTTTCCCGTCACATAATTTGCTCTTGGTTCAACACATCTCTATCTCTTAATGAAGAGAGCAGCACAAAACAGTTCTGCAAATCCTCCCCAACAGAACCACTAAACAAATCCTTCCCATAAAAACATGAAACAAGGCCACACAAATTCTAAACAATCTCATTTGAAGTTTGCACAACCTATTTTTTTGCACCGGGAAAGATGGGATTTGTCACAACAATTAATTTCCTCTACTGTTGACCAAAAATGTGCAATATATTAAAACAAGTCTTAGTGAATAATTAGGATCAGCAGGTCAACTACACAGTATTTCAAGAGAATAAAGTTGCTACTAGAAAATGAGTACTCTTTTTCTTGCCACTCTCAGCAGCCTTGCTTGTTTTGCATATGGCTGCATGTTTAATTAGCAATCTTTCTGTAAGTGTCTGCAATTAGACAATGATGATTAATAAAATAACTCCTTTAAAGCTCCATTTAGGCAGCAGAACTGCACAATAAGGTATAATTAATTCATCATTAATAAATCATGGCTGATTAATTAATCTGTTGATTACAAACACATTACTGCATAGCCTCCCACCTGAGCTCTGGTGATTTTTCTATCCTGAAAAGAAATAGAGACAAAGAAGTAGAACTCTATATTAAAAAAAAAAAAAAGCTTTAAGCAGCAAAGATTCTGGTTTAGTCAGGAAATGTAGATAATAAGTATCTTTAAAATTTATGGGCCTTGTTCATTATGAGTCCTCTTAGAGTGAAAAATAAAAAAATAATTGAGCCATCTATGTGTTAAATGTGGATAGGTGAACAACAAATGGCCCTTTAGTTCATTCATATTCTTAAGGAAGGTCTTTTTTTACCAAAGCATCTCAGGTTATAGGCCAGGCTGAGCCTCTGCATAAGCCACCAAGGAGAATTAAACACAGCAGAGCACTCTTGCAGTATGTTCATGAGGCCACGTTTATAAATAGGATTTCAGGTCCATGACCTTCAGCAAGACTAAACAGAGAAGAATGGGCACTTCCATTTGGAGATTCCTTTTGTTTGCTACCTCACCCTTGACCTCAGTAGTGCATTTAAATCACATTATTGGTATATTCTGTGTAGCTGCAGGATACAGAGACTTGGTTCCAGGTACTTGGACTTAAGCAAGATGTAAGTGATAAGCTATAGTGAACTTCAAAATAACTGGAAATAAGGGAACTTGGCACAACAAAGTTCCTCCTTATTTCTCACAAGCTGACATCCAGCTGTTCCCACATTATGAAAACGCCTTTGAGTTCAAAATACTTCATTCTCAAATACTGCCAAGAGAAAGAACTGAGGCTAAAGCTTAGGACAGAGGTGACTTGAAAGGGGAAGCAGAATTTTTAGCTGGAGAAACTGAAACAGTTCAATATTCCTAATAAATCCAGTGGAAGACCATGTTGTGGTGACAAAATCTGAAGCAGCACTTCAGGAAGAAAGTTCTTCCAGAATGGGTATCTACACTTACAGGAGAAAATCTTCAGTCTTTGAGAAGTAATGGACATTGGTGTAACCAATAAAATTTCCTTTCAGAGTTTAATCAGCTTTATGTGCATTGCTGTGTCAATCTCTTAAATCTTTCTGCTCTAAAGAAAAGCACTGACTAAGCAGCAGCACTATGAGCAACCGCAATACCATTCATCTTCCAAAAATACTGTTCATAAAAGAGAACCACAAGGCACATTTCTAAACTATTTGTATTTTTTCAGATTTCAATTCAAGTAAATTAATGAACATGACTGTCATTTTAATAAATGGTAGAGAAAATATTTTTAAAGAAATTAAAGAAATGAAGTCAGATTTTATGGAAAATTCTGATTCTGGGAAAGGTTTGATTATTTTATCAATCAGAGATGTTTACAGTTCAATCCATGAAGCAGTAACAGCTTTTAACATGGAATTTGGAAATTAAGAAAAGCATTATTTAAAAGCAGAAAACCAAGACAGCTGTCCTTGAGCATCCTCTGAGGCCAGTGTATAAATGAAATGGCAAGACTAAGAGTGAAGAAAACAATACCCAGCATCCTGAAGATCACAAGTATTTGCAAGCCATTTTTAAAATGGACTACAAGGAATCAAAGACTTTTGACAACAGTGGGGATTCACTGCCTAGAGCTGAGATAAAATCAGCATAAGAGGAGTTCCAGGAAGGTGTGGGAGATCAGTGCCAGTTCCTTCAGAAAGTCAGGTTTCCCTGCAGCACCACAGCAGTTTGCCCTGCAATGTCCACCCTTCCGTCACTGCGCAGGCAAATCTTCAACTCCCCTCCCCGGCGGGAACACTGAAAGGCTGCATGGAAACAAGAACCCACAGTTAAAAACCAGAGTGTGTCACAAAGGATTCAAAATCATGGAAAACTGCGGGAAATGAGGCTTCTCTGTCTGCACAGAGCAGACACTGCACCAGGGACAGCCTGGATGAACTGTCCTCATGGATGAAGATCAGCTGGGGTGTATTTCCAACTGGACCTGTCTCCTCAGTCTGACAAACCTGCTGCTTAACACCAGCTGTGAGGCTGCTGTGCTGCAGCCAACTGAAGCCTTGAGTTCTCCCTCCCTGGGATATCCCTCAGGATACAGCTTCTGGACGTCAGAAGGAAGAACACCAAGCATTATCTCCAAGAGAATGAAGAACCATTTTACTGGCACTGAACATCTGAAGCTGATATCACATTCAAAGAATGTGTCTGGCTAAGGGGTAAATAAGCTCACACAGGCAGTGGAAAAGTCTAGAAAGAAACATCAGTGCTGCTTCAGCTGTCACAAACTGACACCAAGTTCTTCCAGAGACAGGAACAGACATTGATTTATAGAATCCTGAGTACATAATTTAATACAACTGGATAAACTTGAAGTAGAAACAGCCTTGTAATTGATTACAGAACTAAGCTTTTGCCTGAACTGTTCAGCCATACCCAGGTGGGATGATAATGTTCACTTCACTTGTGGAGTCTGTACCTTATTTCAGCAGAGCCATTTTAGTTGTACAACTCCTTGATCAGAAAATGGTCTGGTTCAGATGGTATTTAAAAAAGGTTTGAGTTTGACATGGAGTTGCTTTTGTAAAAGGCTGTAAATGGATGAAGAGGTATTAATGTCCAGTCTCCTTGCTCAAGGAATTTCCAACTGCTGCAGGAGCTGTTCAAAACTAAAGGGTACGTTTTCCCTCTCAGCCCCACAATTTATAGATTGGATACAGACTGAATTCAGCTCCCTGTAAAGCACAGGCTCTCTAACAGATGGCATATATGCTGGATGCTTTAAACTATTTCTCAGCCACTGCTGATAAGAAAGCTTTTCTTTGACCAGGATATTGGATTCCCAGGCAAAGGAGACCCTCTACAATAGTGGCAACAGGACCTATCTAAAGATTTATATTGATACTTTCTGTTCTTTTCCATTTATAGAACCACCAGTTATTGGTTTTCACTTGTCAGAACATCATCTAGGAATGCAATAATGCAATAATGCTTCCAGTGGGTATTTTGATCCAGGCCATGCTAAATTTGATCTATTTTTATTGCCAAGAGTGGATACAGAGCTAAGCTCTTCCACACCCTTGTGACAGCAGATTTACGTAAGAGAGATCAATTATTTCATATCTTCACAGGTTTGTTGGTTATTTTACTTGTTAAATGTTCAAGCAGTACTGGCTGTTTCATGGCAGGACAGATTGTTTTCATATTGATCCATCTGTTTTATTTTTAAAGAAACTTCCAAAGCAGATGAAAAACAAAAAATAACCCACAAAAGGAAGGTTTAGCCAAGCTGATATGAGAATAATACTTGATCTATTCTTTCTCTCCAGCAGAAGCACTGCTATTTCACATTATATCTGAGAGCAAACAGGCCTGCGGGGCACATTTCAGTAACCAGAAGATTTCATGGAACAGCAGTGCCTCTGCAGACATTCAAGCATCTCTGGTGGGCACTCACCTTTCAGATCCCAAAGTTACTGCATGTCCGTTCCATGTCTGTATTTACTGGGAAAACCTCTGACTAGATGTAGATTTTATACATATTTAAAAACAAGTACGTACAACAGTAGAAACAACACATACCAGCTACACTCACAGTGCCCTGAATCCCTCTGTGATCAACCTGACGCAGGGACTGTGAAGCTGAGTTTGCTGCTATCCCAGAATCACCCCCCTGCACTCACGAGTCAGCCAATGGCCTTACCCTAAGAGCATCCTGTTGTTTTTGAGGAGCTTCTTGTAAGTCTAAATGGAGCTAAATGACCATTGCATACAAAATGGTTTAAGGACTGACGGATTTTCTTCATGGTGTCATCAGAATGACATCAACTCAGGACAAAGTGCCACTCTTGTAATAATATATATTTCAAGAAATCCCCAGTATTTTCCTTGGATTTTGGGAAGCCAATCTGTTTGGTTATATGGAATTCCTTATGCACATTTATAAGCGTTACCTTAGAAATGTGCAAACCCTGTGAAGGGCTGGATACACAGATAGTTGCTATACCCTGCACTCATTAACAAACAGGAAAGTCTACACATTTGATATAAGAGACTGTAAACGCTGCAGACACTTCTCAAATCAGAAAGAAAGGCAAGGACTGATACTGAAACTTGATTTAGCCAGTAGCTTAAATTCAGGGACATGTACACAGTTTCAATGAAGATTATAAAGTATTTCACATGGAAAATTCTCTTTGTAGCCTCCTCCTAGAGGTCACAATAACCAGAGAGATCTGACAATGAATTTATTGTTTCTCATTTTTATACTATTTCATGTGTAATCTGTTTGGGAACTAACAGACCTTCATTTTATGGAAGAAATTATTCCTTTATTCTTGCAATAAAAAGTATTGGATATTACAGAAGCTACTAAGTTTCCTAAAAAAAGCCAGTGAAATGATTCATCTGGAACAACTCTCAAGAAAATTCCAAAATTGAACAGAAATTATATGAGTTGTTTTGGTCTCAATAGACATGAAGGGAAAGGAAAACACTGCTCTAAGTGTACTGGAAAGTACATGTGGTTAATGAAAATACTGATACCTGTTCCCAACACCCAACATGTAACCCAGAAACACCAAGCAGGAAAGTAAAACCCAATCAAAACACATAAACAACATCACCTGAGTTTCACCAAGCTTCACTTGGGGTGAAAGGTCAGGAGAACTAAAATCCAAAAGCTGAAATCAAAAACCATCTGCAGAGAGTTAAGATCCAGAAAACAACACTTGCAACTCCCTGAGGGCAGGACTTGCCATGTCCGTGGGTAGGAAAGAAAGCAATTTATCAAAGATCACCTCACATGCAAAATATGACAGAGTATTCTACTCATATTGAGAAAATGGACAGGGAGTTAGTGCTGCAGTTTGTAGTAATGCAACTTTGTCTCTTCTAGTGAGCGGATTTACATAAAAGGGCAGCTTTGCCATAAAACAGTTTCTCTTACCAAGCATTTCTTTCTTCCCCAGTTTTTCTGACCAGTAGCTGCTTAAAACAGCATGAGCAGATCCTTAAAAGAAATTGGAAAACAAAGTACAGAATTCAATTACAATCACTATTTTACAGAGCAAGCACAGGCAAAATGTAAATGTCATAAATCAAGTGCCATGTGTGTCTAGTGAAAAAAACAAACAAACAAACAAACAAAACTAAGAGTTTGCACAGCAGAGAGAACTTAAGGCTTTATAATTGCCATTATTTACAATAAAGCAGTATTACTTCCTCATCCTCTGGCTGCAATGGAAATTTTGCTTAGGTGACAAGAGACAACACAAAAACCAGAACACCGATGGAGGTGGACATGAATTTCTACTGCAATACTCATCCAACACTGAACCAGTCTCTCATCTCTAACTGGAACACTTCAGGGAAAAGATCTGAAAAAGACACAGGAATGTCTGGCCTAATGACAGCAAGAAGATGATTTGATTTTTTCTGAATCAGTTGCCATCAGTCATGAAAGTTTTCCTTTGAATGAGCACACTCCTGCTGTCCACATGAAACACTAAGTTAGAGGAGACTCCAAAGAACAAAAACAGACTCATGAAGCTTAGTAAGAACCTTCTGATTGAACTGAAACAAAAGGAAGAGTTGCTTATCACACACACACCTGTAACAGGGTCCTCTGGAATTCCATTCCAAGGTGCAAAATATCTGGAGTAAAAATCATGGCCGTTCCCACTGGAATTTCCCTTAAGAGTGAGGATGAGCCCTTTCACCTTTCCTGTCTTTTCAGCTGACAAAAAGCGTTGTGCACTCACTTGCAGTTCTTCCAACACAGACCTCGAATATGAATTATAAAATTTTATTAGCCCATATTCTTCATTTTACCTGACTATAAGTACTGAAAAAAAAAAAACCTATAAAATTATCTTCTCTACAATTCACAAACAGCACCAAAATATTAGAGGAGACATTGTCCTCTCAATGTTATTTGACAAAAATCATCCTGAATATAATACTCTCTAAGTGAGCAGAATAAAAAAAGCTCAAGCCATGCATTTTCTATTTATTTCTAAAAACAGAGCATCCTGGAACAGCAGATACCAAAAAAAAATCAAAACACTTTTGTTTTAATCTTTTAGTCATTGAAAGAAATATTCCCTCACTATAGAACAAGCAAAGTAAGTGCTCCACCTCCTTTGGGAGCAAGTAAATAACACCACTCAGCCATTCATGGCATTCTAAAGCATCTACAACTGTCTGATACCTCTCTGCAAAATAAAGTTTCAAACAGTAAAAATAATAAGTACTCACATGAGGACATTTCCATCTATTTCTATCTTCCCCTTATCCCAATCTTTAAACATCAGTTAGGCCAAACTTCAAGTTTGTAATAGTAGTAACTTGGTCTGATTGAAGAAGTTGTGTTTCCACAATATATATCTAAATCATCCTTGAATGAACAATGACATTCAGCTCTATGAGATTCACAAATGCTTTGGAATAATTTGAATCGGAATTTTCTCTACAAAGCTACTTACAATGCTGTTCAGCATGTGAAAGCAGATTACAGTCCACTGGCAGCAAGAATCCCTGGCATTCTGTCAACGGGCTCTGAATCTAAGCAGGACTCCCAACTTCCTGCCAGCTCACTGGATCATTTCACACTCAGATGGAAGGGGGAAACACGCCATGGTTAAAACTGTTTCCTACACCTCCTTTTCTTCAAAACAGATGTCAGATTGATCTTACTCACCCTGGCAGGTTCAGTAAGCTCAAAGTAGAAGACTAAATAACTATTTAATATAGAAATTTATGTTACAGTTTTTAATCTCCACCTGATTTAAAACTAGATAAGGGACCTAAGTATGTAAGGAACAGAGGTTAAACAAGACAACCCAATTTCTGCACTCTTGATTTATAAAAAAAAAAAAAAACAAAACCACAAACAAGCATTAGACACCTTTCATAAATATCACTGAGACGGACCAAAAGTTTCTTTGTGTCAGGAGAGTAACGGACATCTTGAACACTCATGTCACCAACTGCTGCCTGGTGGAAAACATAAAGGAGACAAACGAAAATGTCACCACTGGAACATGAAATGCTGTTTCCTTCACATTTTTGGGGAACACAAAGATTCTCTTTTTACCTTTATTAATTCTTCTACTTCTTCAAGTACCTGAAGAAGAGAAAAAAAAAGCACTGTAAAAAATAAAATATATATATGTATGCCTATATGCAACTACAGACAGACACATATCCTTACATACACATAAAACATCAACACACACTTCCCCTGAAAGCCTGTCAGGAATAAAACTTGGACTGACCTGGGGGTAGGCTGTATAAAGTGGCAAGTCCAGGACAATGTGATCTTTCACTTGTCTGGCTCTCAATTCCCCGCTCAGGGTCACAAATGTGAGAACTGGATTTGGATTTTCTAGACACAGAACATTGCAACATTAGCAAACACAAGAATTGGAATCTAAAGTCTTACAGCTCTTGCAGTAGCTCAGTACATTCAGAAAAGGTTAATTAAGCACTGTAGGCATCAGACTGCAGCCAGATAATGACAGAGCAGTTGTACGAGACACCAGCGGTGTCTCCACGTGTATCCTCTAAATGTTCTGAATATTTAGTTGCCTTTGGTGTAGAAACTACAGATCTCACTTACAAGTAAACTTTCTAAAATGTTGGATGTATATAAAATATCTAGATTGCAATCATACTTTGAATGTGAAACAGCACAGCAGCCGATGCCAGTGTAGCGTGACCACAGAGAGGAACCTCATTGGCTGGGGTGAACCACCTGAGCCCAAAGCAGCAACCTGCAAAATAGTTTATGCAGCATCAGTAGGTGCAAGAGTCCATTTCTTCCTTTTATCTCCACACTTTATATATAGAGTGGTGATGTTCCAGTTAATCAAAATGATGTTATGATCTGTCTTGGTCCTAAATGCACTTTTAGGAACCCATTTTGCACTGATTTTTGGCACAGCTGACACTTTTTAATCGGGTCAGCAACTGGACTCTACTATTAACAAGGAGAGCAGCCAAAGGATGCTCCTGATCTGCCTCCAGCCTGGGAACCAGGCACATCCCTGAGATGGGGAGCAGCTCTGGTGCTGCTGGGGAGCCAGAAACCAGGGACATCCGAGATGTCAGTGGTAACCAAAAACCCAACAAACTGTGACAGCCTGAACTGAACTCCTCTGAAAGAACTGTGCACCTCTCCAGCAGCTGCGTGAGTCTCACATCACAAACTAGTCCCATCAGGATCAAAAGCATTTTAACAATAAAGAAGCTGGTGTTTTATAAACTGTTACATATGGATGACTTGAAAATCAATAAATGTGTTAAACATTGGCAAGGTGTTAACATGAAAAATGAAAAGTATTATCACTTCTTGCTTCAAGAAATTAGTCTAACCCCAAAACACATTCCAATCTATTAACAATAGGAGTAACCATATAGTTAGTAGTGTCTGCAATATTTTTAATTACAAGGACTATACAAAATCCTACTCCCTGAACAAATTGATCAAATGACAGAGATGATAAACACGACACCTTAACCAAATCAAACTCCAGACTACTGGGGTTCCAGGCCCTTGGCTCATAGCACCACACAGCTGCAAAGTGAGCAGGTTCAGCAAACTGATTCAGCTGAAAACTAATCCACAGAGTGAGCCTGAATGAACTCTGCATTTGTCTGATGTTTTCTGTCTTGCCTCGTGTCTCTCCATTTCCTCCCCCATCCTATACACGTGTCCTACCAACAAACAGCAGTCAACTCCCTCCACTCAACCCAATCACATAGGCAGTAGGTAATGGGTTTGATTTGGGCACTTCAGAATTCCCAGCTTTGTTGGAAACCTGCATCTTATGCAGGTTTCATTTCATTTCAACATCCACAGACATCTTATGAGATTTTGTGTCAAACCCAAATAACAAACATCAGTTACCCCAGTGATGATTCCCTGAACAGCCCAACCAGATTCCGCTTACTTTGCAGTCCTGTGCACATGGAGTGAGCGTGTTCAATCTCTAGTCTTCTGCTTGTATAATAAGGAATTATCTCAGGAGATTTTTAGTAGCAAAGGAAAAGTTAATGGAAGGATCTCTACACAGCATTTGTTGGAGACTCTATATACGACTTGTTCATTTAGTAAAAGGCACTAAAACAAATGGTGTGATTTATGAATAATGAGTATTTGTATATTGTAAAATAAATTTTGAGCACAAATACTAATGTGCAATAGTCCTATTATGATCTCAAGATACATCACAACTCCAAGGGTTTGTTCTGCTGTGTTACAAATTAGCACCATTCCTTATAAAAGTATCCAGAAGTGTCATCCTATTCCCTTGTTAGATATTTTGGGGGATAAACAGAACCACTCACTTTTGGTAAAGTCATCTCCAGGGTGCAGCTTTCTGATGAAAGCTGTTTCTGAAAGATTCATTTCTATTGCGATTTTTGGTGCAAAGCTTCATCCAACTCCTAATGATGAAACAACAAATCCAATTAAAAGCAGAACAAAAAAAGCAGAATCAAACTTTTTGTCATATACGATAATTTCATTTGATATTATTGCAAAACACAGACTCAGTTTTAGTTCAATATACTGAGAGTAAAAAAAACCTTTTAACACAGTCTTTCCAGAAACACAAATACCTTTTTTAAGTTGTAATTAAAGTCACACTGAGAAGTCATTATTAACATACCCTAAAATTAATTAAAACTTTCTTTTTATAACTCTGAAATATCCCTGCCAGCATGAGCTCTGCAGTGATGGAACATCCCAGGGGGCTGATCAGCCCTAAGGGCCCTGCCCTCCCTACCACTCCTTAAACAAGAACAATACAAGGAGTAGGGAGGGCCTGAGAAGAGAGAAACTGAAAAAAAACCCCAAACACAAAAGCTGGAGTTCACTAAGTGCCCTAAACCAGTGTCAATCTAAACCAGTGAACATTGATCCCAAGATACACGAGCCCCAGAGAGTGCAGAACATTCTACCTGGCCCTTGGCCCATTGCTTTCCCCACAGTTCTGCTGACTGCCCAGGACTGAGAATCTGATCCTCAAAATACTGAGACTCAAATGAAACAAAGGTCTAAGGGGACCTGCTCAGGTTCAACCTCTGAGAGATAAAAATCTGCCCTCCGAACTTTGATTATTTCCTTTAACAACTAAGCCTTTTCAGTCAATAACAGTGAAAGACTGATCCAGGTTCATACTACCCCTCTTTCTTTCCACAGAGGAAAAATGAAGAAAAAAAAAGGGAGAAAACCCACACCAAACCCAAAAAATGCAGTTCAATCCTTCAGTCAAAAACTACTGAGTACTGATTCTGTGTTACGGCATTACTTTTCAAAAACTTCATCCTGAATCCTTCAAAATCTCCATTCTGAATCATTCTTAAGAAATTAAGCCATTTCTTTTTGACTTAACTTATTCAGTGAGAATACATCCAGTATATTCATTACAAGATATTTTTTAGATCCCACACAAAATCCAAAGGGTGTCTGTCTTGTGTGACATCGTTCTGACGCAAAAGGAGCACCCCCGTGCTAAGTCCTCTCTATTCTGGAGCAACAGCAAACAATCCCCCCCAGCAGCGCTCTCGACTGAAGGAAGCGAAGTCTAACACAGTGCTGAGTCCTCAGGCCAAGGACACAACGGCAAATGTCATTGCAGGACCTCAAGAAACAGTTGTTTGGGTTTGTTTTGTTGGTTTTTTTTTTTTCACTTACATTTTCAAGCAGACAAACTGCCGCAGGATTTCCAGAAAATGGCTGGTTTGTAAAGGCATCAACCGTAAAAACTGGGATTTGCATTGTCGTGGCAGCCTGTTCAGTCGCAGGCTGTGCCCGCCAAGGTGCTTTCTAACCTGCTCTACTCCAAACGACAGCAGAGCTCCAAGTTAATGTTTCCCTGAGGGCAGGAGGAGCCAGCGGATCCATCCCGTCCCTTCCGAGCGCCGGCGCGGCCCGAGCCTCTGCACGGCCCCAGCCTCTGCACGGCCCCGGCGCTCTGCACTGGTATTTTAAATTAAAACAGAGTTCAGCCTCCCTCTGGCACCGCTCGCCACCAGCTCCCGAACGCCCGCACGGGCCCTCCCGGCGGTCGGGTCTGCCCCGCACCTGAGGGACAGGCAGGAGCTGCCCCGGCTCCAGGGGTGCCGTGGGCTGACTACGACGCCGAGAAGACGCGGGAAGCCCACACCGCGCGACCTTTCCCATCCATCCTCCCTTTCTCCCTCCGTCCCTCCCTGCCCCGCCGAGGGAGCGGGACACCTCAAGCCACTCCCCCACTCCAGGCACGACCGGCGCCACCCCCGGGGGCGGCGATGGCGGCGTGAGGCGACCTCCGGGCGCGCGCAGCCCGCGCCTGCGCGCGGCTCGTCCCGCAGAGGAGGCGGTGGAAGAGCGAGCCACTGCTGGGATCCGCTCTCCTTTGGCAGCCTGGAAACTGCACAGCCAACACTGAGACCGCTCGCCCTCCCTCCCAGCTTTATGCAGGATCATATTCTTTCAGCTCTTCCAGAGCCAGGATCCAAAACTGAAAGCCCTGCACTAACTACTCCCTCACTAATGGTGCCAGGACAGAAACCTCTTGGCTTTTGCTTGCACGCTTTCACCTCTCATGGAAACACCACACGATGGCGATGTGGACTCGAAAAAGAAGTAAATGACGCTCTCTACACCATCCAAAGTGCAGATCCGAAGTTGAAATTGTCACTACTGTCAAACAAAAACAGTGTCAGTACAGAAAGATTTAGACGGCCTTCTCCTTCCTTATACAAACTCCTATCTGAAATCCACTCAAGCGGAAACATGCAATCCCTCAGTTATAATCCTCAGGGCTAATTATCCTCAGGGCTGATTAAATTAAAAGCTGCAGAGCAGCACTCTGAACAAGATTTCTCCCGGCACATTTCTCTGTGCGAACTGGAGGTGGAAACTTTTGATTTTACAATCTCGTTACTAGAGAGACAGAATGGGATACTCCAAAGAGCTAAGAAGGAAAGTGCTGCTTCCACACAATCAGTTTGCTGCACTGCTTCTGTCCTCAAACAGATTTCGGTGTGGGAGGAGCTACATAAGGCTGGTCCAAAGAAATGTGCTGGCACAAAAAGCTTGCCACCCCTTGCCCCTTCTATTCAGAACCTTGTATTCGCACCACGATCAAGTGACGGTTCTTTTCCCTTCACATCCTGTAAACTGCAGAACCACTGTGGGGCTCTGCACCTTCCTTCCAATCTGGAGGTACCATTACCCTTTTTGCTCACCCCCAAAGCAGGCACAGAACGAGTCAAACTGCCCTGGACGGCAGCGCGTTCCTTTAATAATGCCGCTGGTGTATGTACATCCCCCCCAAAAAAGAGGGCTCTGCTGGAAAAGTAAAGGGAGGGCAGCCCCCAAGTTGTTGAAGCCCCCCCAGCTCCCGTCCCGCAGGCTGGCAGCGTGCCCGAGGATGGTGCCTCGCCTCCCGCTCGGGCTCCTCTCCGTCCCTGCGCTCCAGCAGTGCCAGGAGATGTCTCATCCCTTCCCCAGGGAGCTGCTCGGTGGCTCTCAAGCCTGGAGCTCACAGGAACGAAACGAGCTCCCCCTCCTGCTTCATGCTATGCCTTCTCTGATCAAGGGATAATCACATCATGGAAAAGACAGAAGATGGTAACACCTGTCCAAGGCCCCAAACACTGACCAAGTGACTCTGGTTCTGAGTCCCCAAAAGACAGCTCCAGGGCTCTGCTTGTGAGCCCAAAATCGCAGGACTCGAGTTCAGTTCCGAGCCCCGCAAACGCAGCACTGGATCCCTCTGTGAGCCCAAAAACTGATGGTGGCACCGCCCCAGCCATTCCTTTAACAGCCACGGCCCCGCCCAGCCCCCGCCCCTTGCCCCACCCAACTTTACCATTACAAAGCCGGGAATCCCGAGCCTATGGATTTCCATAGTCCTGTTATTTATTGTGTGTCCAGTCCTGGGCATTCGGGGACCAACAGGGACATCGGCTCTGTGCTGCCCCTGGCACTCCACAGCTCCAGGCAAAATCCAAGTGAAGGGACAGAAGAGCTGGGCAGAGGGAAAATCACAGTCCTGGAGAGCAGGGTCTGCACCAACAGCACGTCCCACCTTTACATCCCTCACCTTTGGAGCACAGGGAACACCAGGCTTTAGCCGGCTCTGCCCTTCCCTGTCCCTGCCTGCAAGGGGTCTTTACCAGCACGGAATGGACACTACATGGTGGTCCAAGGCATTCCCAGCAGGATTGGACAGTCCTGGATGAGGTGACTGGTCCATGCAAGTTGGACCAGAGACAATCCGGGGGCATTTTAAGTTGGCTCCTTGCAGATTTCATTGTTCACAAACCCCAACTCTTTTTGGCACCTCCTGCTTACTCAAAAAGACTAATAACAAAGCCCATAAATTTTAAAGATACTTGTTACCGAAATTTCCTGACCAAACCAGTGTCTCTGCTGCGTAAAACATTTTCTTGTATATTTTAGTACCAGTTTGTCTCCGTTTCTGTTCAGGACAGAAAAATCACCAGCGCTCAGGTGGGAGGCTATACAGAAATGTGTCTTTAATCAACAGATAAGGCTCCTGATTTTGAGACATAATTCTGTTATTTTGGAGCAAAAATATCAATTTTAGGGTTAAAGGGGTATGTTTGGGGGAAAGTGAGGGATTTGGCGATTAAAAGGGAAAATCTGAATTTAGGGATAAACAGGCAATTTGAGCATGTTGCTTGTCTCCAGCTCCTCAGACTTCAGTAAGATCTAAGTTCCAAGTTATGCTAAAACTCAAAATACCTGGAAATAAGGGAACTTGGCACAACTAAGTTCCTCCTCATTTCTAAGGGGCTGACATCCAGCTGTTCCCACAGTATGGAAGTGTCTTTGAGTTTAAAACAATTCACCCTGAAACACTGCATAGAGAAAGAACTGAAGCAAAGCTCAGGACAGAGGTGACTTGAAAGGGACAGCAGTTTCAGCTGGAGAAACTGAAACAGTTCAAATTCCTAACAAATCCATGTGAGAAGACCCACGTTGTGGGAACAAAATCTGAAGCGGCACTTCAGGAAGAAAGTTACAGAAGGAACTCTTAGTTTAGGAGCAAATCTTCAGCCTTTGCAAAGCACCTGGCATTGCTGGAACAGTAACCTTTCCTTGCAGAGTTTACAATCTTGGAAATCTCTCTGCTAACCCTTTCGTCAGAAGCACTGACTAAGCTGCAACTGCAATGCCTTTCATCTCTGAAAAATGCTGCTCATAAGAGAACCACAGGCACACTTCCAAAATATTTGTATCTTGTCATATTTTGATTCAAGTAAATTAATGAACATGACTATCATTTTAATATATGGCAGAGAAAATATTTTTTAAAGAAATGAAGTCAGATTTTATGGAAAATTCTGATTCTGGGAAAAGATTGATTATTTTATCAATCACAAATGTTTACAGTTCAATCCAAGAAGCAGAAAACCAAGACAGCTGTCCTTGAGCATCCTCTGAGGCCAGTGAATATATGAAGTGGCAAGATTAAGAGTGAAGAAAACAATACCCAGCATCCTGAAGATCACAAGTATTTGCAAGCCATTTTTAAAATGGACTACAAGGAATCAAAGACTTTTGACAACAGTGGGGATTCACTGCCTAGAGCTGAGATAAAATCAGCATAAGAGGAGTTCCAGGAAGGTGTGGGAGATCAGTGCCAGTTCCTTCAGAAAGTCAGGTTTCCCTGCAGCACCACAGCAGTTTGCCCTGCAATGTCCACCCTTCCGTCACTGCGCAGGCAAATCTTCAACTCCCCTCCCCGGCGGGAACACTGAAAGGCTGCATGGAAACAAGAACCCACAGTTAAAAACCAGAGTGTGTCACAAAGGATTCAAAATCATGGAAAACTGCGGGAAATGAGGCTTCTCTGTCTGCACAGAGCAGACACTGCACCAGGGACAGCCTGGATGAACTGTCCTCATGGATGAAGATCAGCTGGGGTGTATTTCCAACTGGACCTGTCTCCTCAGTCTGACAAACCTGCTGCTTAACACCAGCTGTGAGGCTGCTGTGCTGCAGCCAACTGAAGCCTTGAGTTCTCCCTCCCTGGGATATCCCTCAGGATACAGCTTCTGGACGTCAGAAGGAAGAACACCAAGCATTATCTCCAAGAGAATGAAGAACCATTTTACTGGCACTGAACATCTGAAGCTGATATCACATTCAAAGAATGTGTCTGGCTAAGGGGTAAATAAGCTCACACAGGCAGTGGAAAAGTCTAGAAAGAAACATCAGTGCTGCTTCAGCTGTCACAAACTGACACCAAGTTCTTCCAGAGACAGGAACAGACATTGATTTATAGAATCCTGAGTACATAATTTAATACAACTGGATAAACTTGAAGTAGAAACAGCCTTGTAATTGATTACAGAACTAAGCTTTTGCCTGAACTGTTGAGCCATACTCAGGTGGGATGATAATGTTCACTTCACTTGTGGAGTCTGTAACTTATTTCAGCAGCCCCATTTCAGTTCAGATGGTATTTAGAAAAGGTTTGAGTTTGACATGGAGTTGCTTTTGTAAAAGGTTGTAAATGGATGAAGAGGCATCAATGTCCAGTCTCCTTGCTCAAGGAATTTCCAACTGCTACAGAAGCTGTTCAAAGCTCAAGGGCACATTTTCCCTCTCAACCCCACTATTATAAACAGGGTAACTGCATTCAGGCCTTGTAGAGCACAGGCTGCAGATGGCAGGTGTGCTGGACACTGTCAAACTATTTCTGAGCCACAGCTGATAAGAAAGCTCTTCTTGGCTCAGGTTGGTGAATTCTCAGACAAAGCAGACACTCTAAAAGAGCAGAAACAGAACCTATCTAAAGATTTATATTGATACTTTCTGTTCTTCTCCATTTACAGAGCCTCAGGGTATTGTTTTTAAGTTGTCAAACATCATCTAGGAATGGAGTATTGCTTCCACTGAATATTTTTGAGTCTTGAAGATTCAAGCTATGCTAAATTTGATCAATTGGTATTGCCAGGTGAGAATACACAGTTAAGCTCCCTCATGAGACTGGATTAAAATTAAAGAGATTATTTCTAATCTTCACAGGTTGGTTGGAGTTGCTTTCTTTCTTCTTTAATTGCTCAAGCAGTACTGGCTGTTTCATGGCAGGATTACTGAGATTATTTTCATATTGGCCCATCTGTTTTATTTTTAAAGAAACTTCCGCAGTAGAAGAGAAACAAAAAATAATCCACAAAAGGAAGGTTCAGCCAAGCTGATATGAAAACAATACCTGATCTGTTCTTTCTCTCCCACTGCAGCACTGCTATTTCACACTCTATCTGAGAGCAAACAGGCCTGCAGGGCACATTTCAGTAACCAGAGGTTTTCATGGAACAGCAGTGCCTCTGCAGAGAGTCTCTGATGTGCACTCACCTTTCAGATCACAAAGTTACTGCGTGTCCATTCCACATTTACTCTGAAAGCCTCGCTCTATATGCAGATTTTATACATCTTTTTCATAAAAACAAATACGTCCAATTGTAACAACAATATATAGCAGCTAAATTCAATGCCCTGAACTGTCAATCTGTACGTTGGGATTACTTGGAAAAGATGAAAGCTGTGATTACAACTCTGCAAAATTTTTGACTTCATGAGAATTCAAATTAGCAAAAATGTAAGCACAGAGAGATTTTTGGGACCTTCATGAAGCAACCTCTTCTGGGTTTTTTGTTTTGTTGTTGTTATTGTTGGTGGTGTTTTTTGTTTGGTGTCTAAGCTGTTCTGTACTGGGAAAGAATCAGAGAAGTTAAAAGGTAGTAACAAGAACCAAATTTCCCCACAAATTAGCACAGTTGTACAAAGTAAACAGGTACAGCAAGATTCCTTGAGCTTCCCCTGAGATTAAAAATTATCCTGGATAAGCCTCTTTTCATCACAGGAATTTGGGAAGCCCTCTCTAATCCGTTTGGTTATATGGAATTCCTTGTGCACGTTTATAAATATTACCTTAGAAATGTGCAAACCCTGTGAAGGGCTGGATACACAGACAGTTGCTATACTCTGCACTCATTAACAAACAGGAAAGTCTACACATTTGAATTAAGAGACTGTAAACGTTGCAGAGACTCCTCAAATGAAAGAAAGGCAAGGACTGATACTGAACCTTGATTTAGCCAGCAGCTTAAATTCAGGGACATGTACACAGTCTCAAGAAAGATCATAAAGTATTTCAGCTGGAAAATTCTCTTTGTGGTCACTGGGGGTGGTTGTTGTTTGACAACTCTGTCTAATAAAAGTAGGAAGAGAACCCAAAGACAGGAAGGATCAAACTAACTTGTATTTAAATCCGGTCTGTATGACTTGTACCACAGAAGAAGCTTCAGGACATCTTTGCATGGAAGGTGAAAAGAACCCAAACCTCTCTTGTGGAAAGACAGGACTTTTTTTGTGCTGAACACATTAGAGAGGCTGATTCCAACATAACTGCCTTTGCTGCTTGAGACAGTTTCTTCAAAAGGGGAACCAGGCAGGGGATGAGGGAATTTTGTGTTGCTTCTCTTGCTCTTGTGTTCTCTGGCAAAGCACTACAGACAGGAGAAGCAAAGGGTCACCCAATCCCTCTTTATCTAGTGTTGTCATGTATTAACAGTTTCTCTCGTTTTCTTTCCCTTGAGTTTCTTCCTTAACAACAAATATGTGGGCTATAAAGCACATCCCCTTGATTGAAACAATACCAATAAATCTTTTCTTTGTTTTAAGAGGTCCAGTCATCTCAGATTCCTTTAAGGCTTAATTATTTAAAAGTAAGCCTGCATGTAAAATCACAAATAAATAAAACCTGCTGATGCCCACGGACCACATCCCCACTCTTACATATTTAAGGTCAGTCATGTTCTTTCTGTTCCTGTAACCTAAGAGACTGCTATTTCTTATCTCCTGCCTGACTACCACATCAAAATTCATAAGCCTGAGCAAAACTATCTTCATACCTAAATGCATAGATAAAAAATTGGTATTAAAAATACATTCTCTTCTCACCTCGCTATAACAAGACTACCTATTCTAAACCCTAAGTTTCCTGAATAAGTCACTGAAAGGATAAATCTGGAGCAACTCTTAAGACAACTGCAAAATGAGTCAGAAGTTATGTGAGCTGTTCTGGTCTCAATAGACATGAGGGGACAGGAAAGGAAAACACTGCTCAAGGTGTACATGATTAATGAAAATACTGATACCTGTTCCCAACACCCAACATGTAACCCAGAAACACCAAGCAGGAAAGTAAAACCCAATCAAAACACATAAACAACATCACCTGAGTTTCACCAAGCTTCACTTGGGGTGAAAGGTCAGGAGAACTAAAATCCAAAAGCTGAAATCAAAAACCATCTGCAGAGAGTTAAGATCCAGAAAACAACACTTGCAACTCCCTGAGGGCAGGACATGCCATGTCCGTGGGTAGGAAAGAAAGCAATTTATCAAAGATCACCTCACATGCAAAATATGACAGAGTATTCTACTCATACTGAGAAAATGGACAGGGAGTTAGTGCTGCAGTTTGTAGTAATGCAACCTTGTCTCTTCTAGTGAGTGGATTTACCTAAAAGGGCAGCTTTGCCATAAAACAGTTTCTCTTACCAAGCATTTCTTTCTTCCCCAGTTTTTCTGACCAGTAGCTGCTTAAAACAGCATGGGTAGACCCTTAAAAGAAATTGGAAAACAAAGTACAGAATTAAATTACAATCACTATTTTATAAAGCAAGCACAGGCAAAATGTAAATGTCATAAATCAAGTGCCATGTGTGTCTAGCGAAAAAAAATAAAGCAGTATTACTTCCTCATCCTCTGGCTGCAATGGAAATTTTGTTCAGGTGAGGCTTTCAGCATTAGCCACCACTGGTAGGAATAACAAATAGTACCAATTATGACACTTGAGCCAAAGTACTCATTTGTTTACTAAAACTGAAGTTTCCTAATAACAGAATCTCCAAATCCTATATTCAAAATCTTATTCATCTAAACATGATGTTATTCAGTGAAACATGAACAGCTACCCATCCAATATCTGAATAAGCTTCTGGGTATTTTTTAAAAGTAGCAACAGGTGGATAGCAGTCACTGTGTAAAACAAAACTTTTTCCTCTCCTTGGGAGGTTTTTCAGTCTTGAATGCTGTTAACTGTCAGGATGTAACTCAGTAACATCTTCAAGGTCTCACCACAACTTCTGAAAATTAACAGAACAACTTCTTGTTTCCTGAACAATAGCTTAAAAAACTTCAGATGACTTCTGAGATTCATGGCTAGAAATGCTGCTTCAGGCTCCATTAACAGCTGGGGGAAAGGACCCTGCTGAAAACCCCACTCCAAAGGAACTCCAATTCTCAGGCTCAAGGACACCAGGCCTTACTAACAAATTGTCAAAAGAGAAACAGAATACAAAGCCCTAACACTGTTAAAAGCACACCTGGGCAACACAATAAAAAGATTTCTTTCCCTAAAAGAAAGGACACTTCAAGATGGAAGAAGAGCAGCAAGGACCTGTAACAAGCCTAGAAAACCTCAGCCATTTAGAAACTGAAAAAAACACAGGAATGTCTGGCCTAATGACAGCAAGAAGATGATTTGATTTTTTCTGAATGAGTTGCCATCAGTCATGAAAGTTCTCAGTTGAGCACACTCCTGCTGTCCACATGAAACACTAAGTTAGAAGAGACTCCAAAGAACAAAAACAGATTCATGAAGTTTAATAATAAACTTCTGATTGAACTGAAACAAAAGGAAGAGTTGCTTATCTCACACACATTTACCTGTAACAGGGTCTTCCAGAACTCCATACCAAGGTGCAAAATATCTGGAGTAAAAATCATGGCCTTTCCCACTGGAATTTCCCTTAAGAGTGAGGATGAGCCCTTTCACTTTTCCTGTCTTTTCAGCTGACAAAAAGCGTTGTGCACTCACTTGCAGTTCTTCCAACACAGACCTTGGACAGAATCATAAAAATTACAATATATATCTAAATCATCCTTGAATGAACAATGACATTCAGCTCTATGAGATTCACAAATGCTTTGGAATAATTTGAATCGGAATTTTCTCTACAAAGCTACTTACAATGCTGTTCAGCATGTGAAAGCAGATTACAGTCCACTGGCAGTAAGAATCCCTGGCATTCTGTCAATGGGCTCTGAATCTAAGCAGGACTCCCAACTTCCTGCCAGCTCACTGGATCATTTCACACTCAGATGGAAGGGGGAAACACGCCATGGTTAAAACTGTTTCCTACACCTCCTTTTCTTCAAAACAGATTTTGGATGGATGTTATTCACCTCTGCAGGTTCAGTAAGTTCAAAGTAGAAGATAAAATAACTATTTAATACAGAAATTTACTTTAGAATTTTTAATCTCTACCTGATTTAAAACTAGATAGAAGTACCTAGTATGTAAGGAACAGAGATTACACAAGCCCACTCAATTTCTCTACTCTTGATTTTTAAATAAAAGTATTAGACACCTTTCATAAGCGTCACTGAGGCAGACTAACAGGTTCTTTGTGTCAGGAGAGTAACGGACATCTTGAACACTCATGTCACCAACTGCTGCCTGGTGCAAAAAAAAGGAGACAAAGGAAAACGTCACCACTGGAATATGAAATGCTGTTTCCTTCACATTTTTGGGGAACACACTCCCTGCTACAACAGCCTCATGTAAGGTCTGTCATCCCAGAGGGTTCTCTAGCATAGGCAAGCAAGACAAGGAAATGCACTGAGTTTGGTGTGTCAAGTTCAGGAGTAGAACAAGCAGGGCCTTGTTGCCATTTTTCAGCCATCTTAACGTATAAAAGCAAGTAGAGCTATTACAAATGTTCCTCTAAGACACTATAGACATTCTTTTTTTACCTTTATTAATTCTTCTACTTCCTCAACTACCTGAAGAAGAGAAAAAAAAAAGCACTGTAAAAAATAAAATATATATATGCATGTATTTATGCAACTACAGACACATATCCTTACATACACATACAAACATCAACACACACTTCCCCTGAAAGCCTATCAGGAATAAAACTTGGACTGACCTGGGGGTAGGCTGTATAAAGTGGCAAGTCCAGGACAATGTGATCTTTCACTTGTCTGGCTCTCAATTCCCCGCTCAGGGTCACAAATGTGAGAACTGGATTTGGATTTTCTAGACACAGAACATTGCAACATTAGCAAACACAAGAATTGGAATCCAAAGTCTTACAGCTCTTGCAGTAGCTCAGCACATTCAGAAAAGGTTAATTAAGCACTGTAGGCATCAGACTGCAGCCAGATAATGACAGAGCAGTTGTACGAGACACCAGCGGTGTCTCCACGTGTGTCCTCTAAATGTTCTGAATATTTAGTTGCCTTTGGTGTAGAAACTACAGATCTCACTTACAAGTAAACTTTCTAAAATGTTGGATGTATATAAAATATCTAGATTGCAATCATACTTTGAATGTGAAACAGCACAGCAGCCGATGCCAGTGTAGCGTGACCACAGAGAGGAACCTCATTGGCTGGGGTGAACCACCTGAGCCCAAAGCAGCAACCTGCAAAATAAAGTTTATGCAGCATCAGTAGGTGCAAGAGTCCATTTCTTCCTTTTATCTCCACACTTTATATATAGAGTGGTGATGTTCCAGTTAATCAAAATGATGTTATGATCTGTCTTGGTCCTAAATGCACTTTTAGGAACCCATTTTGCACTGATTTTTGGCACAGCTGTAATTTCTTAATCGGGTCAGCAACTGGACTCTACTATTAACAAGGAGAGCAGCCAAAGGATGCTCCTGATCTGCCTCCAGCCTGGGAACCAGGCACATCCCTGAGATGGGGAGCAGCTCTGGTGCTGCTGGGGAGCCAGAAACCAGGGACATCTGAAATGTCAGTGGTAACCAAAAACCCAACAAACTGTGACAGCCTCAACTCATAACTTATCTCCCAAAAAACTGAAAAATAGTCTGGGAAAAGGGGAAAACAAACTGGGAATGTAAGAATCAGAAACTGCCACTGTTTGTTCTAACTGAAAGAAGAGGATAACAGTCTGGAAAAATAAAAACAGATCTGAGAGAACTGAAAGCATCACAATCTATTGGCTGTTTCAGGTGAAAAGTGGAACTGAACAGCTTCTTGAAGTGGTGGCATTCTAAGTTCTCTTGTGTCTCTATGATATAAAAATGCCTTAATTTTTATCCAAAATGGATAGAACTTTGAGCACTCTAAGAAATGCACAGATTTTTCCTTTTTCCTGAACAGGTCTTATTTAGAAGATAAGCCTCTGTGTCCCTGTGTCTTACGCAATCCTACAGAGGTGTGGTTGTGATCCCTACACACCTGCAGGCTGGGTTCCCCTTTAGGGGTTAAGTGTCATTCTATTCCCTTGTTAGATATTTTGGGGGGTATAGAGAACCAACTCACTTTTGGTAAAGTCATCTCCAGGGTGCAGCTTTCTGATGAAAGCTGTTTCTGAAAGGTTCATTTCTGTTGCGATTTTCTGGTGCAAAGCTTCATCCAACTCCTAATGATGAAACAACAAATCCAATTAAAAGCAGAACAAAAAATGAAGAATCAATCTTTCTGTCACATACAGTTATTTCATTTTCTATTATTAATAAAACATAGATGCAGTTACAGTTAAAAATACATTCTGAGATTAAAAAATTTTTAAGCATAAAACTGGGATAACAAGTTCAACCACTGTGATACATGGGAATTTCTAATATTTGTCCTATTGGTTTCCAAATTCTTGGACTACGTGGAAAATTAAATCACCCAAAAAACTAAACTCAGTCTTTCCAGGAACACAAGCCTGACTTTTTAAGTTGTAATTAAAGTCACACTGAGAAGTCATTATTAACATAACCTAAAATTAATTAAAACTTTCTTTTTATAACTCTGAAATATCCCTACCAGCATGAGCTCTGCAGTGATGGAACATCCCAGGGGGCTGATCAGCCCTAAGGGCCCTGCCCTCCCTACCACTCCTTAAACAAGAACAATACAAGGAGTAGGGAGGGCCTGAGAAGAGAGAAACTGAAAAAAAACCCCAAACACAAAAGCTGGAGTTCACTAAGTGCCCTAAACCAGTGTCAATCTAAACCAGTGAACATTGATCCCAAGATACACGAGCCCCAGAGAGTGCAGAACATTCTACCTGGCCCTTGGCCCATTGCTTTCCCCACAGTTCTGCTGACTGCCCAGGACTGAGAATCTGATCCTCAAAATACTGAGACTCAAATGAAACAAAGGTCTAAGGGGACCTGCTCAGGTTCAACCTCTGAGAGATAAAAATCTGCCCTCCGAACTTTGATTATTTCCTTTAACAACTAAGCCTTTTCAGCCAATAAGCCCATACCAGAGATACAAACCGATTCCTAATGTGTACAATCACCTGTTCTTGCAGATTAAATTGTATAGAATTAAACATTTTAACATTTTACAGTAACAAGCACCTCTCCTTTATTTCAGCAAAACAGTTCTGTTATTTACAGTTACCATAGAGATCCTAAAACAAAGACCAACAAAAATGTTGTCAAAAATAACGTTTTTAATAACATAGAACTTTATTGAAATACTGCCATCCTGTGGCACCTCTGAAACACAGAAAGGGCTGGTTTTGCCACTCTTGCAGCACTCTCCGTTTTTTCTGTAAAGCACCTGCCGAGGCTCTGAAGGGAACAGAGGAGTTTTGCTGCTGGCTGCACCGTGCTTTCTTGAAGCTTAGAATAAAATGCTAAAGTAGGATCTCAGCATTAATTTGGACGCCAAAACCTCTACCTCCAGGAACTGTAGAAAATACTTTATAACGTCCGCATTCCAAAGGCACCGTGCAAGTAAACTGTCCTCACAATATCTTAGTGTAATAAAATAAATTAACATAAAAACGCAGTCAGAAGCTCACAGGTTTAAACCACAGATCATTCAGAGTGTATTTAGATTTTAGGGGGCCAAAAATACCCCTGAAGTGAGATGTTCTCAAGTCATAGCTTTAGCTGTCCTGGTGAGTAGGCAATGCTGTATGAGATGGAGGTAGACATAGGAACATCCAGAAAAGATTCGTGTCATCAGTACAAGCTGTTGCCATTGACTATTCAACATGTATTTTCGTACTCCAGTTTTCATCAGGAGTTATTACACAAATAATACAAGGACTACAAACTTCTAATGCCCATTTAATAATTATTTTTAGTAGAAATCAGTACCAGTTAGTACCAACTGTTCATTCTGAATCCTTCTTAATCCTTCAAAATCTTCATTCTGAATCATTCTTAAGAAATTAAGCCATTTCTTTTTGACTTAACTCAGAATACATCCAGTATATTCATTACAAGATATTTTTTAAATCCCACACAAAATCCAAAGGGTGTCTGTCTTGTGTGACATCGTTCTGATGCAAAAGGAGCACCCCCGTGCTAAGTCCTCTCTATTCTGGAGCAACAGCAAACAATCCCCCCCAGCAGCGCTCCCGACTGAAGGAAGCGAAGTCTAACACAGTGCTGAGTCCTCAGGCCAAGGACACAACGGCAAATGTCATTGCAGGACCTCAAGAAACAGTTGTTTGGGTTTGGGGTTTTGTTTTTTTTCACTTACATTTTCAAGCAGACAAACTGCCGCAGGATTTCCAGAAAATGGCTGGTTTGTAAAGGCATCAACCGTAAAAACTGGGATTTGCATTGTCGTGGCAGCCTGTTCAGTCGCAGGCTGTGCCCGCCAAGGTGCTTTCTAACCTGCTCTACTCCAAACGACAGCAGAGCTCCAAGTTAATGTTTCCCTGAGGGCAGGAGGAGCCAGCGGATCCATCCCGTCACTTCCGAGCGCCAGACCACACTGAGCCTCCCTGCACGGCCCCGGCGCTCTGCACTGGTGTTTTAAACAGAGTTCAGCCTCCCTCTGGCACCGCTCGCCACCAGCTCCCGAACGCCCGCACGGGCCCTCCCAGCACAGCGCCCGGCCCGGCGCGTCCCACACTGAGGGAGGCGGGATCCCGCCGGGCTCCGGCGGTGCCGCGGGTTTACCGCGGGCAGCCATTGCGTGCGCCCACCCCGGGCAGCCTTGCCCATGCAGCCTCCCTGCCACGGCTGCGCCGGAGCCGCGGGGCGCCCCGAGCGGGACGCGCTCCAGGGCCCGACCGGAGGCGATGGCGGCGTGAGGCGATGCTCGGGCCGCGCGCGCTCCCGCGTGGCGCCAAAACGCACGGCGGCGGCCGCGTGCCCGAGCACGCGGCACGAGCACGAGCGCGCGCGCCCCGCAGCCCCGCGGCGGCGAAAGGACCAGCGGGTACCGCCCCTCCCGCCTTCTCCTCCGCACCGCGCATGCGCCGCCTGCCCTCCCGCCGCCACCGCCCCCCATCGCGCTTGCGCGGGTGCTGCCAGGCGGGGGAGAGGCGGCGCGCGGGGCGGCTATCGCGATAGTCGCGCGGCCCGGACGCTCCGCTGCCCGAGGGCGCTGCGCAGGTGCGGGTCCCGCCAGCCGGTCCTGGGAGAGAGTGACAGGCGCGTCCTGCCGGCTCGAGCGGCTGCCGGGGCACACCAGGGGTGCGGAGGGGCGAGCGGTGAGCGGGGGCGCAGGGCCCGGGGCTGCGGGGGCGGGAGGGGGATGGGATGGGATGGGGGTCCCTGCGGCCCTCGCGGCGCCGGGCCCGGCTCGGCGCGCGCCGGCGGGGGGGGCGGGGCGGCGCGGAGCCTCGTTCCCGATCGCGGCCGCCATTTTGAGCGGCGGAGCCGAGGGCGGTGTCGGCCCCGGGACAGCGGCGGGCGGGGGGCCCGGAGCGGCCGAGGGGACGCGGGCAGGGCGGCACAGCACGGCTCAGCTCAGCGCAGCTCAGTTCCGGCGGGCAGAGAGGTGCGCGGCGAGTATCGCGGCCCGAGCGGGGAGGGCGGGAGGCGGGCGCGCCGGCGAGGCGCGGTAAATGGCGGCGGGGAGCGGGCGAGGGGTCAGGGCCGCGCTGTCGGCAGCGCGGCGGGAGGCGGCATCGCCAGGGCTCCTCGCCTGACGGGGCGGCTGCGGCGGTTCCCTTTGTGGCACGGTGGCGGTGCCCCCGCCGCACGCCCCCCTCGCACACCCACCGCCCCTCACCGCCCCCGGCTGAGGGCAGACAAAGGAAGGCCTTGTGGTTCCAGCCCCCTCCTTAAGTGTTTTGCTTATAAAAAAGGTAAAAAAAAAAAACACTCCGTCAAAAAAAAGGAAAAAAACCAACCCACCACCATAACCCCACAAAGCCTTACGGAGCGGATATGAAATGTGCTCTGAGTAAATACCGAGCTTTACGTGCCGGGCCTTCCCACGTGCTGCTACATCCCCGCCGGAGGGGTGTCCGTGTGTGCGAGCGGGCCGGGCACGGCAGTTCTACCCACATGACAGAAATCAGGCTCGTTATCCATAGCGTTTGTTATCTAAGAAAACCCGCCAGATTTCCTTTGAAGGGAGGGACTTAGGCATGGACGGAATCTCAATTCTCTTCATTTTTTGCTTCGGTTTTTCTTAGGATTTGTTTTAAATAAAAGATGGATTGGAGTGGCAAACACAATGGGCCCAATGATACAACCAATGATGGGACGGTGGTACGACTGCGGGGCCTGCCATTTGGTTGCAGCAAAGAAGAGATTGTTCAGTTTTTCCAAGGTACCTCCAGTATAGTCGAAGTGTAGTGGGTTTCTTTAGAGCTTTCTTATGTCTTTAACACCGTGTTTTGCACATTTTTAATAGCGGGTAATGGGGAGGATGGGAGGCATTGTGTTGAGTTAGTTTGTCTTAAGTAAGAATTATGCCCTGTAAATGAAGCGCAAATAACCAGAGATGTAGTAAAACACAGAATATATCTAATTTTATCGAGGTGGTAAACATGTTTTGCATATTGGGGTAACCTGAATGTTAGCATTTGGATCAGTTAAATTGCTTGATGGGTAGCAATATTTTCTTCATGTAACTTAGGCGGTTGTATTTTTGCATAGTCTAAACAAGAAAAGAAGTATGGCTAAATCCATAAATGTTTAATGAAAGATCATGGGCTTGTATTGTTGGGTGATGGGGAAAACGAGGTGGTTTTCTTTTTCGTTGTTGTTGTTTAGATATGCTTTAAGTATTTGCTGCAGATGGGAATGTTTCAGCCTTTAACACTGTTCCCCTTGACGGGGTTATTTGTCCTTGGGTTAAAGGGTTGGAAATCGTGCCAAATGGGATAACATTGACGCTGGACTACCAGGGGAGAAGCACAGGGGAGGCCTTCGTGCAGTTTGCTTCAAAGGAGATAGCAGAAAATGCTCTGGGGAAACACAAGGAAAGAATAGGGCACAGGTGGGGATGGAGAGTTTGGGATGGTGTTAAATCTTTATTTTTTGGGGGTTGTGGGTCAGTAATGCTTTTGGGGGGTTGGGGACCATTGGGAAATTGGCTGGTTTTAAGAATTTTTATAACTGATCCTAAGTTAATTTGGGAAATATAGTAGATTTGGGGGGTGGGGGAGACAGTATTGCTCTGGGTAGTTTGCTAAACTCAGAAAATTGTTTCAATCGCTCTCGTGTAGGGTAATTTGTGATAAATGCTGTATAGCCAGACACTGTTTTTCAACAGTATGTTTCTCATACTGGAAAGACATGTTTTAAGCCTAATTTGTACAGCTAGAATTTTCACATAGTAACTTTTGCCACTGTAAAGTGGGGGTTTTGAATACACTTAAGATTCTTACGGTTTTGAGGAGAAACTTAAGTTGTATGGTCTCTCTAGTCACTGCTATTGGCTTGTACCTTTAGTCATAGAAAATGTAGTATGGCCTTTTGTGACATTCCAACAGCTTCTGCCTGTGTTCTTACTGGTGCCTTGAAAATCCTCTTTTATTAGATACATTGAAATCTTCAAAAGTAGTAAGAGCGAAATCAGAGGATTCTCTGACATGCCGAGAAGAATGATGGGACAACAGCGACCTGGACCATATGATAGACCATTAGGAGGAAGAGGGGGTTATTATGGAGCTGGGCGTGGAAGTATGTATGACAGAATGCGTCGAGGAGGTGGTGGATATGACGGTGGTATGTTTACCTAATGAACAGAGGTTCTGTTGTGTCATGTTTCTGACATACTTGTCAAGAAATAACAAAATGGCAGTAGCTGCAACACCCATTAGGTTGGACGGATTGACCTCAAAAAAACTCGTAGCGTATCAGAAAATGTGGCTTCTTATTTAAGATGAATGTAAATAATAACGAAACTGTTTTCAGCAGAATTTGATCTCTCGTTTGCATGTTTCAGTCTGTTACATAAAAAGAAATGTACTTTTGCACCGTGTTCAGAAATCCAGGTTTAACAGTCCATAGAGGCTGTTGGCAAAGCGCTGGGTGCCCAAAGACTGCAGAATTGAGTGTTGTGCATGGCTCTGTGAATGCTGAGCGGTAATGTAATGGCTCCTCTCTGTCTCTCCCTTGCACAGGATATGGTGGCTTTGATGATTATGGTGGCTATAATAACTATGGCTATGGAAACGACGGCTATGACGACAGAATGAGGGATGGGAGAGGTAAAAGAAATTATCAGCTTGTTTAAAATGTTTTTGCTCTTATTTGAGTTGTAAGACAGTATTTTCAAGACAAATAATGGCTTCATTATGCTATTTTGTAAAGAAAGAAGTTTGTTTAAAAAAGGGAATTGGGGACAAGTAAGAAAGGGTAAATAAATGGCTTAGGATGCCTTCTGGTTAAGGCTTGGGCTGGTACATGGGAACTGTAAACATGGAGCGTTCAGTGCTATAATTCAGAGCTTTCAGAAAAACAGTGATGACTTTTGGCTTTTCATGATCTTAGAGGTGTGTGGGTTTTTTTGGTTTGGGTTTTCCAATAGGCATGGGAGGCCATGGCTATGGAGCTGGAGATGCAGGGTCGGGGTTCCATGGTGGCGGTCATTTTGTTCACATGAGAGGGCTGCCCTTCCGAGCCACGGAAAACGATATTGCGAACGTAAGTACCACGGGGAAAAGGGCTTCCTGCTCCCAGGAGCATGGTCACACTGGGTTAGAGTTCTCAAAACTAGGGGCTGCTACACCTGCTCCATGAAGTCATGGCCCTTTCTGTGAGCTGCACAGAGTTAACGAGCTTTTAAAGGTGGAGTTTGAGGTGGGATCACCAGAGGGGTCAGCAAAGCTGATTTAACGTTAATCCTTGTACTTGCTGCTCTTGTGTTTCCATACAAGGTGTATTGCAGAGACAACAGTTGCTGCTGTCAGTATCCTCTTTTTAAGGTTTTCAGAACTTGTTAGAGCTTATTTGGTTTCGAAAGTAACAGCAGATGTGAAACTTAGATAGCTTAGTTTGCATATTTATTTGTTGACCTGAGCCTACTTTAGGAGGGGCAGGGTGTGAAGGCTGAAGGGAGCTGTGTTTGGAGGGGATGGTATCCTGTTACTTGGGCTTTTATCTGCCACCCTCATCCCTTTCATCTGCAGATTTTGGGAATGTATTGTGTCGCTGTAATGTGGGGTTTATAGGGAGAAAAGCTTTTTTGGGATACAAGGCCTGGTTTAAACATAACATGCCCTTGGGAAGAGGAAGTCTTGTCACTTGAACCTGTATATTTTATTTTTATATATATAAGAATTCCATTCTTAAGCCTGTGCTTGCTGTCTCTTTTTTGGGGTGGATTGGTTGGTTTCAATACAGATGGATTTTCTTGTTTCAGTTCAATTGTTTAGTCTAATGACTCCATGACAACAAGGGCCAAACATCAGGCTTTGATTTGGAATAGTGAGGAAGAGCAGTCTGATTGATGGGCAGCAGAGACAAATAAAAACCAATTAATTTTTTTCTTGCCCAGGATGGCATCATATAAGATTGTGTTGCTCAGAGCAGTGTGTGTGGGCTGGAGTTGTTTGTATATTTGCTTTCAAAGAAAGCTCCTCAAGCTCTATAGCTGCAGCTCTTGAAGCTGTGTAGTAATAATGGATTATAAGTGTAGGTTGACCCAATGTTGAAGGTCCCCTATCCCTGTAATTGAGAAATGAGTAATTAAATCTAGTGTGGTAGGACGACACTAATTGATGCCGTGCACCACTAGCCATGGGGATGGAAAAAAATACCTGGCTTGAATTCTACATTAAAGTGATTGTTTTTGTTTTATTCTTAGTTTTTCTCGCCATTGAACCCTATAAGAGTTCACATTGACATTGGGGCAGATGGAAGAGCTACAGGAGAGGCAGACGTGGAGTTTGTGACACACGAGGACGCAGTAGCTGCCATGTCTAAGGATAAGAACCACATGCGTGAGTGTCGTGTTTCCCGGCTGCATGGGCTGGGCTCCAGCGGGGGGGGGGCTCCAGCAGGCCCACCCCTTGGCACACCCGCCTTCTGGTGCTGTTCTCTCCCCTCCAAATAAGCGGGTGGGGGGCACTTTGTGAAACAAAATGCAAAGTAAGTCTGTCTTGCTTCCTGCAGAGCATCGATACATTGAACTGTTCCTGAATTCCACTGCTGGAGGTGGCTCTGGAATGGGAGGCTACGGCAGAGATGGAATGGGTACGCATGGATTGCACACTTAGCTGCTGTTTTGCCAGGTCTCATGAGTTGCAGGCTTGTAACGGTGCCCTTTTGGCTCTACAGATCAAGGTTACGGCTCGGTCGGTAGGATGGGCATGGGCAGCAATTACAGCGGCGGGTACGGAACTCCGGATGGCCTGGGCGGATACAGTAAGTGCGGGCTCTGTTGTGCACATCCGCTGGGAAGGGGTTGCTGTGCTTGTCTGCTGGCACACACTGGGCAGGGTGGGCTTTGGGCTGGGAGGAAGGAAGGAGGGGGCAGTAAATCATTCAAACTGTGAAGCATTGGGGTCTTCATACCTTGTGCTGCTGCATCAGCTGCTGGTTAAGGGAGCGGTGCTGGAGTAGCATTTGTGTAAGTTGTCATCTGCTGCATTACCCATCCCATTTTTTCTTTTTTCAAGGTATGTATGCGTGACCTTGTGTCAATTGTTTGCAGGTCGTGGCAGTGGAAATAGTGGAGGATACTATGGGCAAGGCAGTATGGGTGGAGGAGGATGGCGTGGGATGTATTGAAGGATAGCCTTGCTTCTGCAAAACACCCTGGAAGAAACAGTCTCTGGTCTACTAGACTTTCTTACAAAATTTAATTTCTTTTGTATTTTAAGAACTTTATAATGACTGAAGGAATGTGTTTTCACAATATTATTTGGTAAGCAACAGATTGTGATGGGAAAATCTGTTTTCTGTAGGTTTTATTTGTTGCATACTCTGACTTTAAATAAATTTTTATATTCAAACCACTGATGTTGATACTTTTTATACTAGTTACTCCTAAGGATGTATTACATATTCAAGGCTACAGTCGGTTTAAGTTGTTGTACTGTGGTTCCATAAAGGTGGTTGTACTGTAACTCCTATGAACACTGATTGAGTTCTGTGTAATCTTGGTTTAGTGAACAAATTTGAAACATTCACTTGTTTAAGGGGAAAAAGATAGATGCATAGATTAGTTTATTTGGTTAAAGCCTTTCCTAAACCCTTTTGATAAGTTGTATGTAATAATTGCACCACAGCATAAAGCTGTGGAGGCTGAAAGTCATTGTTCTGCCTTCCTTCCTTCCTTCTGCTGGCACATCCACCACCACCAGCTCCACACCTGTGTGAACAAGCAGTACCTCTGCTTTCTGCTCCACAGAACCAAGCACCACATTCATTTCCATGCTTTGCTGTAGCTCCAGAGCCTGCACTTCACACACGTAGCCTGCAAAGCAGCCCAGCTTTTCCTTCACATGACATAGGTCAAACACTTGGAAGCTTTTTCTTAGTATTTTTTTCACAAACATGCTTTCAGCAAGAGTGGGGAGTTGGAAGCAAGTTAGACTTTTCTTTCTTGAATTTATTGTATTTAGACATGGTTCAGCTTTTTTTTGCTGCTCAGAGCTGACTTGTCTGTATTTGCTGAAAATCTGCCAAGCTTTTCTACAGATGAGCTCCTTAGAAGCCAAGATCTCTAAAATATCTGTAGGCCCAATACTATTCAGTAACACAACCCAAACAATAAAACTTTCTGTGCATTTGTGACATGTAAGATATGTAAGAAACTATTGTTTGAAGACACTTAACATACCTGATGTGTAATGGAAAAAGGTATTTATTCTTCTGAGCCAGTGTGATCTCCCAAATTAACTGCTTTGTCCTCAATGCCTCCCTTAAAATGTCAAATGTGATCTTGGGTATTGCAAGTCTGTCACCTGTTTTGCTAGTACTGTGTTATATCTGTAATAAATGTCTTCTTGTGGGAGAGGAGAATGGAGTTTATTTCACCAGAGAATGTGTTGGGGGGGTCAAAGGGACTGGAAGTAAGAGCTGGAAAGGGTAACTGGCACAGGAAGCTTTCCAAGCACTGCAGCAGTTTTGGCCAGGAAGGGGAGGGAAGAGGAGTTTGTAACCATTGGAACTCAGCGCTCTTCAGACCGATGGGTTTCTTGGTCTGGTGCTGAGAACTGGTGCTGTAAATGGCAGTGCTCAGGACAAGAGGTAACCAGCTACAGGGAGGCCCCGTTACTGCAGAGAGCAGAGTGGGGGCTGAAAGAAGCCTTCCTGGGCACAGCAGGGGGCTTAAAGCCTGCCAGCTCTGCCTCACTGGGGACACCTGACACCTGCTGGGACTCACCTCTGGAGAGCAGGGTGGCCCTGCTTTGAGCTGTTCTTCCAACCAGGCCACCTGCACAGAGCTCTCTGGCTCCAGCCCCCCCGAGCGCAGTCCCACAGTGCTGGACAGGGAATCCCTCGGGCCTGGCCCGCCCCTTCACCCTGGAACGAGAGCAGCGTTCAGCCAGGAACCTCCCACCTCACCTGAGCAGCATTTACACTGCAGAGGAATTGTGGGGATGAGAAGCTGTGAGCAAGGGTTGCCCAGGCAGGTGTAGGGGTTTGTGGCTGTGTCCAGGTGTGCTCCAGCCCCAGAGCTGCAGTGTTGACTGCTGGTGCCAGGAATCCCTTCCAAGCAGCAGGTGCCACCACGGTAAGTGACCCCCTTTGGTGGGGAGGTGGGTGCAGCTCCCGTCATCCCTGTGTGGGGGGAGCAGCAGCAGCAACAGGAGGAGGAGGAGGAGCATATTTTCTCTGTACCTGCTGACACCCCAGTGCAGGAAGGCAGAATTCATTTCCCAGGAGGAATGAAAGGCTCCTCTGATCCTGTCAGAACAGTTACAGGCCCTCTTGGTACCTCACAGCTCTTCCTGTGCTCTGTGAGGAGGATTTAGAATCAGTCTAAGAGCAGGTTTTTACAGAAACACAAAGATACAGCATTAGTCATAGTGTGGCCCCAAAACCTTAAAAGCAGGCCAGGTATGTAGTTTGAATGCAAGGGAACATCAGCATTCACCAGTTTGTTCAAGGAAGAAATGTTACCTGGAGACAGTAAAAACAATGAGTAATTGCACACTCTTCCCCTTGCAAAGAGGGTAGCACAGGGGAGAGAAGATGGCAGTCAAGTAACAGAAATTTAATTTATTGTATCTTATGGAAGTCTGCTTTTAAAAGTTGCCAGTTTTAAAATTATTTCTGTTTAGTTGCATACTTTTGGACACATTAAAGCAGTACAGATTAGCATCATCTGTATCCTACATCAACCCCTGCTGCCTCCATACCCCCTGGAAAACACTGGGAATAGTCTCGGAGGAACACGAGCAGCACTTGACTGTGTCTTTAGCAGGGTAGCTCCCCAGTCCCCAGCACAGGCAAAGCTTTTCTAAGCACCATGAACAAGTGGTAATAAAATAAAATTCTCTCAATTACAAACTTAAATAAAGTGACATTATTCCCTTAGTTAAGTTGCAGATCAATTAAATTTATTTTTTTTCCCAAAAGTTATTTACACATTTACAAGTATTTGTCCGGTACTTTACAAAAAGTTACATCAGGTAATTTTAGAAACATTTTCCTATATAAAAGCTACATAAGCAACTACATTGAGTGTTGAAAAGAAGAGCTATGTTAGATTTTAGGATATTAACTAAATCCCTACCCTCAGAGACAGAGCCAAGCTAAACAAAGTGCAAGGACAACCAGAAGATTGTTCCCAAGCCTCCCTTTTGCTGTTGGTGGGAATGCCCCGAGCCCACGGCTGAAGGAGCTCCCAGGCTGGTAATTCTGCTGAGGGCTCGTCAGTGCCCACAGTGTGGGGGCTCAAAAGCTGCTCTGCAAAAAAATGAGGTTTAGGAACAAACTCAAAGTTTGAGAGAGATGGTAACAAACTAAGAACTTTCCTGTCCGACACAGAAAGGATGTGGTCCCTGGTATTTAATCCCAGGCTGTCCTGGTGGTCTCCAGAGCTACAACACACCTACTCCATGGACAGCCTGAGAGCGTGACTTGCACAAAAATAATGCAAAGATTCACTCAAAGTTTTACAGTGTCAGGCAAAAGGTTTGTGATGGACAGCTCTCTTCTGATGGAAACACAGACACATCAAACTAACAGTTCATTTGCAAAAATTATTCACCAAAACACACCTTCCTTCTGCAAGTGCCCGAGGCACTGCTTGTTCCCTGACAAAATCTCCCCTTCCACCTGTGACTCCACAGAGCAGAGCTGTCAGTGCAATATTCCTGGATGCTTCAAGTCCTGGTAATTAAGAGGAAGTAAACAGATATGGAATTTGGCACGAACTCATCAGAGCACTGCATTAATGGCCACACTTCTTAAAAAAAACAATTGAAAACAAGCTACTGCACGGTTTGGCTTCACAACAACGTATCACAGGCACACTGAGGGGCAGGATGAGGTTGGACTCGTGGCAGAGTAGCCTGTAAAAGCAGGGAAGCGCATCACCTTTCTCAAGAGCATCTCAACAACTAAAATACCCTCCAAATACACGTTAACGCTGAGTCCCCTCTATAAGCCGCCCTGCCTCCTCCCAGAGGAGCTGCTGAGCCATTTGTTAGACCAACATCTTCATCTGTTTTGGTTTTTTTTTCCACATGTGCATTTTCTACATTGGGGTCCCATTTCTTCTGCTGGTTTCAAGAGGAAGCAGAGAAGTAACTCCTCCACAGCACCTCAAAGCTGCAACTCCACAGCGCTTACCTGGAAGCCTGGAAATACTTCTGTCCATTCCTTAGGTGGTGCTGGGTTTTCTACAGGAACAGCTAAAGAGCAGAGCTAACAAACAGCTTGTGGCACAACCTTAGGGCACGTTAGAAGAGCACCTCTGGATGAGGATTGCGTGGCAGGAGTCGCAGACCCGGACAGGCCTGGGGGAGGAGGGCAGGGGCAGCTCGTTGTCAGAGCAGGCGTTGCAGAAGATCTCGCCACAGTTCCTACAGTGATGCTGAACGGGGGAGAGATTGAAAGTTTAAATTTACAGTGGAAACGTACTTGGCAATTGGAAAAAATAAACAATGTACAGGGAGCAATCGAAATGTGGCCCCTTTCACTTCTTAGGGCTGAGCATGGAATCAGCTCTCAAAAGGGAAGTCACCCACGTCCCAAATTATGATGCAATCCTACACAGATCATGTTTATCTAGGACTGCACCACACACAGATGGGCTGGGTCCTTATATATCTATTACTTCTAGGGCCTTAAATACTTATTACTTTTTTATTGATACATATGCTTTGCAGATTTCACTCAAACCCTGGATTAAGCACATATCCTGCTCTATAAAAACACAGCAGGAGCAGTGATATTCCCAGCAGTGGATGCTTCTGGCAGGTAGCAAACCGAGATTTAACATAAAAAGGTAAAAGCAAAATTCCTGCACACATTAATAAAGCATGGAAATTGCCACCACATTTTACTTTCAAATGACAATAATCTCACATTTTCTAACTCCACTGTATAAAAAATTGTCATAAAAAGATTTCCACACATCAAATTGTAACAGTGCCAGAGCTGACAAGTGTTTGAGATGAGAATTCCACAAAGTAGTTAAATAAAATTTTAAAGTTTTAAAATATTCCTTTGTGGCACTTAACCAAAAGTCACTGTTTATTTTGAAATTAGGGCCCAGGGCACTGTATGTATCAAAGAACTAGAAAGACACCTCAGCAATAACTCTGCATTCACCTGAGCATTGACACTTCATGGCACAGCTCTAAGATAATTAATTTTTTTCTCATAATAGTTACAAACACGTTGGAAGAAATTTTATTAAAAGTTTTACCTTCCTTTTGGAAAGCGAAAATTCCTTTTCACATAACTTGCAATGTGTGGCCTCTTTGTCCTTCAACCAAACCTGGCCCTGGAGGGAAAATTATCATAATTGTATGTACCTGATGAAGTTAAACTTTGGGCTCCAGGGGACAAGACAAACCAAGAGCAGAACATTTCCTGCCTGAATTGCTCAGTGCCCTGGGAGCAGTGCAATGGCACAAAGACACTCTAGAGCAGCACGGGACTGCTCCAAAACACCCCAAAACCAAGAGGAGACAAGACAGAGCAAGTATAGGTGCAAAGAGAACATGCTTGAGCTGGTAAAGATTTCAAAAGGAACAATTCCAAAAAAAAGATGTTTTCTTTCCTCACAATACTACTGACCTGCAGTGCTTTGTTGGCTTCTTTTATATCTTCTATTTTCAGCTTTGATCTAAAGAATAAGACAATGCTATTTCAAACTTCTACACGGTCAGTCATGGCCTAACAACTTAAAAAGTTGGTTTCAAACTTCAAAAATTCTAAGCCAAGTGCTCTGAACAGGAGCACAAACCCACACTGTGTCACTGTGGAGCCTCCCCACAGCCACCCATTGCCACCCACTCACCATGAGCCACAGGACACACACCCCAAGATATTCCAGAGGCATCCAAGTCCCCTGCCAGGGGCTGCTTGGGGCTGGGGGAATTTCCCTCCCAGTGGCTGGGAGGGGCTGTGTTTGGATCTGTGCTGAACACAGGGCTGGTTATTGTGAGCAGAGCAAACACTGAGCCAAGGCCTCTTCTGCTGCCTGTCCTGCCACACTGGGGGAGACTGGGGGTGACCAAAGGGACATTCCAGAGCTGCCAACATTAAAAATTAACAGACATGACCTAACTAGACACATTCACTTCTCCTAACTGGTTAGTGACCAAAATAACAATAATATTGTCACATACAGTCTAATACACTTGAGCCCCTGATTGCTGTTCCCACCTCAAGTTTATCTGACAATAATAAGTCACCACGAATAACGGAATTACTCGCTCAGCTTGGACGCCAGTTCTTGGAGAGCAGCTTCTTGGTCTTCACAAATCCTTTTCAGTTGCTTGTTCTTTTCCTGAAGTTTAAGGAACTCCTTATAACAAAACAAAGAAAGTAAAATGAAGCCGAACTCCTCTCAGGTTGTATTTGCCCACTGCCTACAGAACTGCTCCTGCCCAGAGCTGAGCGTGCTGGGAAGGACAAGGGAATGAGGGATCAAGTTCAGCTTGGAACAGCAACCACTCAGAATTAAACCAAAGCCCTGAGTTCTGATCTGAGGGCTAAATGGACAGTAAACCCCCCATTTTTTTCCCTATTCTATTTGTCAGAATACATTAATCTAATCTTCCTTTACTACTTGCAGAAATTCTTAAAAATACCACGTCTAAGTCCGTAATTAACTTGGCAATGTCTAAATTACTAGTCAAATGTTGCTGCAGAATTTACTTTTTTAAGGTTAATTATTTCTTGGGTCTCTATTCTCAGATGAGATACAGTTTCCTTCTCCTTCTGAAGATCATCCTCTAAGGTTTGCCGCCACTCTTTTTCTATCTTCAAATCCGTTTCCAGCTGAAGCCTGAAATATGTAAACCAAAACAAACAAAAAAATCACTGTGCACAAGGGTAGCATTTTTAAAAACAAAGATGAGTTTATTTCTGGGTGCAATAGGTTATTATGATAATAAATTACTAACATACATGTTTTCCCAAACAGAAATCATGAATCAACGTAACAATATTTTATGGATCAGTGCAGTAAACAAAGCACTGTCACTTAGAAAATGCTTTTAAAGATAAGGGTGTATAAAGGACTAAGGATATGGAATAATTTTGAAGAGCTGGCCTTTGATATAAATGAGTGAGAGAAGCCTAACTACAAAATTCTGAAGTATTTTTAAAGCATGCATAACTGAAAGCCTCCTTAACCTGAACCAGCTTGTTTCTAAAATAAACCCACCCAATCTGCCAGTGCTGATGCAGACAATGATTGCAGATGTCTCTGGTACCCAGAGAAGTTGTTTAATTTTACACCTGTAAACGTGGATCTTCTATTTAAGACTAAGGTTTATGGCATTTTGAACAGAACTGAACATAAAGGAGGGCAGACTTCAAATGACCATTTTTATTTCTACGTAACCAAGGTTCAGCACTAAGAGGGAGATGCATTCTGTTAATTTAACAGAAGTCCAGTTTAAAGGAATTAGGGCTTCTTTGATGGAGGTCCATTCCAGCTGGAATTTTACTATCAGTTTCATGGAAGAGTGGGGAAGCCCACTGTTCAAACCTTGCAGATCTGAACTGGGCCAACACAAGAGGGAAACAAATCTCAGAGTATTCATACAAGGTCTCCTGATGGAAAACCTGTGTCCACACTGATTTTCCTTGTTTAAAACCACAACCATTTTCAAAGGAAAGTCTTACATTTTGGGACACTGCCTCGGCATCTGGCTGGGGAAGAAGTGAACATGACCTGGAGGTTTCAGAATTGCAGAATTCTGAACCTGGGGTCTGAACTGTTCTTTTGGCCAAATCTGCAGAGATGACTGGGGTGGTAAAGTGAACATTTACCATGACAGTTCAACTAGGGTATTGACATTAGAGCTGTGAGAGAGGCAGGGAGGGCTAATGATGGGATTGGAAATCACCAACCTTTAATATTTGTGCCACAGATTTACTTGATAATAATTGATGTGTTATCTTCCCAAACAGGGAAAATACCTGCCCTTACAGGTAGCTTTTAGCATTCCATAGTTCTTTAAATTAGTACTGAATGATTTAACAGGAGAAAGACTAAAGGGTTGGCTTTTACATTGGTGTTTAACTTTTATGGCTCAGGTGGATTTTTATTTTTTTTATTTCCTGTTCAGTGGTAAATTAAATCACTTCTACCTTATTCACAGGCAGATCAACCAAACTATTCTTATGTCACTTATCTTTAAATTTATCCTACTCCATACTCGTGGGTTTTGTTAAGAGTGTATTACTACTACTACACTATGTATTTTTCCCCACTTAGGGGGGAATTAAGCTGGCAATTTTAGACAAAAAAAAAAAACAAACTGTTCTTCCCCTTCCTTTCAAGCTGCACATCATTTTAGAGGCACTCAAAGCCAGCTTGACTTTCCCGGAATGGCATCTTTTCTTCTGCCTTGCCAGTACCTCACAGTAAGATCTTTGGTATTTACATTCTGTTAAAAACCATTTCTCAGCAACCAGCCTGGATCAGGACACAGGACATATTGCCATGTAGAATGTTTACTGCCATGTGTTTTTGCAAACAGCAAAGACATACTCACAGCTGTTTCTCCTTCTGGGAGAATTCCTTCTGCAGACTTTCAGATTTATTCACATATTCCTGCTTAAGTTTCTCATCCTCGGCCTCAGCCTCCATTTGGGCCTTCTCTGCTTGCTGCAATCTGGTGTAATTCAAATCAACTTTGGGTAAAACTGAAGCTAGAATTAGGGTGTAGAGGGTGAAGAAGACAAATAAAAGAAAAATGGGGAAATAGAAACATTTCTAAATAAAAACAAAGCCTAGGGAAGCTCACAAACTCAAACGAGAAATCCATCCAATGCCTCGAGAACTGCAGAACTCTCACAGTCAGAGAGCAAGCACTGCCAGAAATCACTGCTTTATTTTCTGCTCATGAGTAACAGGTGCCAAAGCATGATGATACATAGTTTGAATTAAAGCACAGAACTTGATGCTTTTCTTTTTCCTTTAGCGTTCCTTCATGTGGTACTTTTTTTGAAGCCTTTCTTTCCCCCCCCCCAATAAATCCTGTAGAGTACTTGGCTCACACCATCACCCATTAGGATGGGGCAGAGCATGTGTTGTGCAAAAGCAGCTCAAAACAATTGAGGCTTAAGGCTGAATACAGAGCACTGCAATCACACAGCAAAAAACCTGACTAGCCTAAGACATCAAAGGTCCCACTACACTTATAGAACTACCTCGACCACATCATACTCTTAAATTAATTTAAATAATCTGTATTAAAAATAATGCATTCTTACACTGGTTAAAATAGCTCCATATTATAGACAAATAAAAACAATTCGTCAAGAAATGAGGGATTGGGGTTTTTTATTTAATCTTTCCCTACTGAATTCCAGGGGTCTGTGCTAACACTCCCCTTGGAATCCCTTAGTTCACTGTGGGTCCTCTCTGCTTGGTCACCTCTTTAGTGCAGAAAGATGGATGTAAAGGGAATGTACTCCAATGGGACTTGTGCTATGCCAGCCTGCCCCTGCCTGAGGAAAAGGCAGGAGAGAGGGAGAGCCTGGGAAATGCCACTGAGTGTCCCCAGCTGCTGCATCCCATTTAGCAAAACTGTTTAGGGGCCTCTTAGGTAAGCGGTGGGAGAAATCTGAGAGATGCTTGATTTCTCACTGCCAGCAGCTGCCTCAACACAGAGCAACTCAACTCCAATGTCAGCTAAAAAGAGGTAAGTCAGCAATACGTTTGCATTTGGGCTTCTGCTGATGCATCAGCAGGAATTTGCAAAAGCTGCCAGTAAAAGAGTGAACACGGGCTGGAATTAAACCCTCTTATCCAGTGGGCACTGCCTCAGCTGTCCCAGGGGCTGGGAATGCTCCCAGTCACACCTACAGTGGTCGTGCCCAGAGGGCAAGGAGAACACAGGGGAAAGGCAGGTCAATGCCCTGTGCAGAGGCTGAATGAATCTACAGGACATGAACAGGAACAGCAAGTCAAATCCTGCCCTAAATCACAAAGTCTACTCCAGTGCAGTTTGCACAGGCAAGGCACAGAGGGCTGTGCTGCCCCAAAGCTGCAGCCCCGTGCCCTGGGTGCTGGGCCTGCCTGCAGTGCTGGCACTCACCCCAGGCTGAGCTGGGCCAGCCTGCAGCTGCACTGGCACCCCGATGGTCCTGGGGCAGACACTCCTGCACAGAGACACTGTAAGCTGGGCAGTGCTCCCATTCCTGCTATGGCCCACCCATTGCTCTCCTTTGGGTTTTCTTTGGGGATGGAGGATATTTACTTTTAATTTTCAGGAGCGAGCCCATGTTACAGGCTCTTTCTGACTCCAGACTAAGGAATAACGCAGTACAAAACCACGGAGTAGAAACCTTTCTGTATTATTGTGTCCTGCCCCGACTTTGGCAAACACATCCCCTTCTGCTGAAACACCTGAAGATAACTTTCCCAGTCAACTTGCACTCCAAATTTCAGAGCAAACATCAGGAAGTGTATCGGGGCACTCAGGAGGTTAAACTCTCTTATTGCTGCAGTGCAGCCAAGCAGCAACTCCCAGCAGAAATTCGAGTTGTAAAGGCAGCCTAGTGATGGGTGGAGGGAGGGAAAGGGCTTTGGGCACTCCCAGAGGTGTTGATGGTGGTGCTGACACAGCCAGGCAGATCCTCAGCTGACAAACCAGTTGGACAAGTTCAGGGGCTGGGCCCTAACTCTAAATCCTATTTACCACTGCCCCTTTCCCAGCAGCCAGCAGGGTGCAGCTGCTCTGGGCAGGAGGCACAGCTACAGCCCCTACAGTCCCTCCTGCCTGGAGTGCCACCCAAGCCAGGCTCCATGACAATATTGCACCACGTGCCATCAGCAGAATGGAATTGTGCTTTAGCTGTTTTACCCCCAGAGCCGTCATCCTCTCCCTGTACACACAGGACATATGCTGGCAACACCCCCTTTTCTCACACATTGTTCTGAATGAACATCAACTCCTCTTCCCTCAAACTCCTGTCACTCTGGGTTAGAAAACAGTGCTTGTTACAACCACAGCACCCCACAGAGAGCCTGCTTGGGGGATAAATACAGCCTACAACTGACAGCAGTAAGCAGGGAAAAAGGTATCTAACCTTTCAAAATAAACTTTGTTTGACAACTAAGAAGTGATTAAATAGCATTAGAAAACTAGCTCACATTTGCTTAGTAATAGTGCAGTAATTTACTGGTTTTTAAGAGGGGTAAAGTGAGATGGGAGGTGATGTTCCTCCAGAAAGCAAAACAGAACCCAGCTACGAACAGTTACAGTGCAGGATTTCTAACACCACCACTTTAAAGTCTGAATTTTAAAGTTCTGAAGGTCTAGTTCATCAGTAACTATTTGGAGCCAGCAAGGGAGGAGGAGCTTTCAGAATGATATATCCTTGACAAGCTTATACTGGTGCTGAGCTTCACTGCTGGCACATTTGACGAATGACATTGCAATAGTCCTAGTTTGAGTTAACAGATCTTTGTCACTTCATGAATGCAGTGGACAAAAATCAAAGACAGATGAAAGGCAGCAAAACATTAAAAAACGAAAATTGGGATAAAGGATAAAAAGAAAAAGAAAAAAGAGGGAAAAAGGATGTCAATAAAAGAATATTCATGTCACTAATTTTTTTTTTAATACATGTTTTTCATAATCAGATTTAAATGAAAAAAAGACATGTCAAACACCAACATGACAGGGCTCATGGATATGTTATATTTTACAATTAAAAAGGTCAATGTTGCATATAAGGCCACTAAATTAAAACATATGAATCATATTTTAATATCATGTAGTACATGCAGTCTAACTGTAAATTTATATTCTGGACTTTTAGTCTTTCACTTTTCAACCTTCCAGTGTGAAAACTCATTAGGTCTTTGAAAATAATGGCACTTCCAAAGCAATGGACAAAATTGTAACAGCTTCAGTAAATACACCAGTGATCCTTGAAGGCATTAAATGCTTATATTAAGCATTTGCTTAAGTACAAGATTAATGCTTCAGTTTCTATTGCATTTCATTCAAGTGGGGGAAAATAGGTAATAATGAACCATAATTTTGAATCAACTGAAAGAGCAGCTTTTGATATCAGCACAAAAACCTAGGACCAGAAGAAAGGTGGTGGAGGGAGAAAACTGAGAAAGCAAGTTTGTATTTCAAGTAAGTTGTGTTTGTTAAACAGAAGAAAAGACCCAAGGGCAAAGCACTGGTGGAAGTTTCAGAAAGGTTCATTTTAAATGCTCTACTTGACAGTTACATTTCAGTGGCACCTGTACAGGAATGCAGGAAAATGTGAGGGGATGGAGTGATGAATGAAGAGAAACAGAGATGGGGCTGTACCTTTGTTCTAGTTGTTTCATAGTTGCATTAATTTGATTGGTCTTATCCTCTAATCGACTAATTATTTCACTCTTTTCTTTCATAGCATCTTCAGAAACCTGTGTTACAAAAAAGGTCAAAACTGAAGTGGGTATGTTTTGCACTGCTACCTCATGGGGGCTTTTGCTTCAGTATCTGAAGGGGAAAATGTTGCAATGACTTCATGTTTTGATTACTTTTAAGCACTCCCTTCTAAAAACCCCTTGCTGACAAGTACTTAACATTCTGTGCCTGGGAAATCTGTAGTTTTGTTACCTTACCAGTAAAGAGCCAAGATGCTTAGTCCTGAAAATCACTAAGGTTCTCCTACAAATGCAAACCCCACAGACCTACACACTGAAGAACATTCCCTTCTTGTTTTTGTTTCCAGCTCTACTTATATTTCTCTTCCTCTGGTCCAGTTTCCTCACAGTTGTAGGTGGAAAAGTAGGATTTTTTGTCCATCACCTCAATTATCTCTCTGCAGCACCCTGATTTTTCCCCCCTCATTCTGCCACAGATTTGACTGGTTTCTTGTGCTGCTTTGGGTAATTTATTCCCTAAATCAAAGTCATGTTCTGCATTAATAATTCACTGGTAAACTTCCCCGGTGATTTTGCTATCTGTTCACTGCAGGGGAAGTCTCTGAGACCCATATTCTCCCAAAAAGGCATTGCATTGTTACAGATTTTCTTAATTTGATGACAAAATAAAAAGATTTTTAAAAAAGGAAAAAAACCCTCAAAACTGTGGTTACTTTTTTCCACTTAACACAGTCTTGTCTTCCTTTCCTTACTTGGAAAGGTCAGGTTTTCTCTTCAACTCCTCACTACGTGCCTACATTCTTTTGTTTTTTTAATACAACGCAGGTCAAAAAAAAGTCATTATACAGCTGCACTATTACTGTCTCTCTTTCACACAGCTTGTTATTAGGCCATGATCTTATCCCCACCCACATTTGCACAGGCAATGCTCCAAAATGTCACACGGACCTGAGGAGCGTAAGGGAACCAAAACCCAAGGCAACAGCATATTTAACTGACCAGAGCGGCAATGCATTCCTCCCTCTTGGTTTGTTTGCAGCAGTTTTACCTGCAGCTTTTGGTACATTTCCACGTTAATTGTTTTCACTTCATCAAGCTGTTGGCGGAGGCCGATGAGAGTGTCCTGCTTCTCGTGGATGTCCTTCTCCAGCAGCTTCATGGCAAGCTCTATCTCGTGTTTCATGCTGACTTGAACCACCAGCTCATTCTCCATATCCTATAGAACACAAGCACAGTGCAACACAGACTAATTAAAGAACTGTGTAACACTCTATCTTGAAAAACCCCAGGAAGCAAACTCAGAGCAGCAGCACCACCTATTGCACCCCTTCCAAAATTCTGCCCCTGTTCTATTTTGCACATTATCCACTACATAAATGTTACACTCATCTACTGAGTGACCAATGGGGTTTTTTAAGTCCAGGAGAAAGCAATTCACATAATAAAAAAATACCGTCAGTGCTGCACAGTTGCCTCAGTATTAATTACAAACCCAGAACGAAAGTATTTATATTTTCACTTGAATGATTTAGCACAGATACAGAGCATAAAGTATTGCTAACAACTTAACCTAAAATTCCTCAAAGAAAAATATTCTTTCTATACTATTCTCCAGCAACATTATTATAGAAATACTGATGTGCTGATTGTTGAAAACCCCTTTTTATCACAGGCAGCAACACTCACCTGTCGAAGCTGGGACTCCTCCCGAAGCTGCCTGCGAGCTTCACTGTACATCTCATCCAGACCCTGCCTGGAGTGTTTGTAGGTCTGAAGTTCTGCTTCAACATCCACTTTAGTTGCCTACAAAGATACAGAGAGTCCTTCTCCATCACAAGTACAGCAATCAATAGCACAGATTTAGGGGAAACAAAATCAAGCTGACAAATAATTGTCCAAGCACAGCACGAACACGGAGAGAGCTGTTTCTGCCCCGTGACTATCAGTTTTATAATGAGAACTGAGTAAAGACAGCAAAAGGAACAACTGTACTGCAGCAATGTCCTCCTTCAGTGTCAGTTCAACACACAGTTGTTTCAGTCCTGAGCAATACAAACATCTGCTTAACCTGGGCTTTTACCCCTCACCCCAGGAAATATGTACGAGGAGTTACAGAAGGAGCTGCAAATCGCAGCTGGAAAGTCAAGTTCAGCACTTGTACACACAGCAACTCCAAACACAAGACAGGCCAAAACAGACAGTCTGGCAACTAAAACATCCTATTTTGACAAGAGTTTCAGACAGTATTGCCTTCTAATAGGTCTTCCTTTCATCTTCCCTGATGAAAGTTGTTTCAGATTTGGAGAAGTGGCAGCTTCCCTCAGGCTGAGATGTACAAACACAACGTCACAACATTAAACGTGGTGAGACCAACATACCTCTAGATGATGCTGTGTTTTCATTAAAATCAGAGTATTTTCACTCCTTAATTGATGGTTTTCTTCCTGGAGCTTAATTATATTGTTTTTAGCTATCGCCAACTGAAACGAAAAAACAAACAAACAAACAAAAGTAAAGCAGTGTGACCACTACTGCGGGTAGAAATAAAGGGAAAAATGTTGTGATGAATGCAAGGCCAAGACATCCTCTGCTCTATTCTCACCTACCAAACAGAGGATTCATTGTTTTGAAGAAAACAAAGCTCCTGGTTTCAGTACTGAGTCACTTCTATTACACACCAGGATGAGTATTCAAGACACTTCATTATTCCCTGGCTGGCAAAGAACATGCTTTCCTTTCCTTGCTTCATCACGACCCTCAGTTCCCTTCCCTCATCCTCAGTTTTTTGCTTCCATTTGACTTCAAGTTCATCCAGTTTTCCTCTCTTTTTTTGGACATCTTAATGTATCAAATGGAGCAATTCACACAGGAAAACCTCCCCCAGATGTAAAGCAAACATATTTACAGCAGATGACACTTTATAACTGGGCCCTACAGAATATACCTTAAAGTCAGAATTATAATGAGCAAAACAGGTGAGAGCTGGACCAGAACACTCTGAGACTTGACACTCAGAAACAATGTCTTCCCTCTGGGTGGATACATTATACCCAGAGTCCCTTCCACAGCTGCATTTCGAGCTTGCAATTTGCCACTTCATAAACTATTTCTCAAGTAGCTCAGACTTACAAAAAAAAAAAAGATGTTCTCTCTTACAAAGCTAAAAACATTGGAATCTAGTAAAGCATCAAAGATAAGGAGAAATATAGGATATAAATATAAAACCAGAATTAGACCAGTCTAAAAGCTCGATATAAGCACCCAGCAAACAAGCAAGAAACAATCCTTTGGTTAAAGCTGAGTAACAGAAATTGCTCGGTGAACTACTTTCTGTCTCTTTGTAGCACTTGGTGCCATCCATTCTGGACTAGTCATCTGCACAAAATCAGGCTGACAGCTGGCATTAGGAAAGGATTCTCTTCTCGTTTTGTCCAGAAGTTGGAAATTGCAGTGTCATACAGAATTAATGCACTGATGCTACAGCCTCCCTAGGCAAGCTGGCTTCAAATGCCTGCAGCTACTGCACCTTTCCTTTGGGCCAACATAAAGGTGTCTGAACCCATCATACAGAACTTAGGCAGAATAAGACACTGTATTTAGCAAAACAGCCTTGGAGAGTGAATAATATGTTATACATCCCCCAAAGAAAACAATACCTCTTCAATCAGTTTGGTGTTTGATTTCTCCAGTGAATCAACCCTTGCATGGAGGCTGCTGACTGTGCTACTGAGGAGGGAAAAGAAAAAATGGTATTCAAAATTACAGCAAAACTCAGCCAACCAAGCAGAAAAACTTCCGTGTAAGGCCCAGGGATTAATGGTTAAGAGCTAAAAGGTCTGCTCCCATTATCTGAGGTTTTCCTAAATATGAGAAAATTCCTCTCCTTTGGTGAATATTCTTAACTTCTTTACAATTCCCAGTGTCATCCCTGTCACTTAAACTCCTGGCTAGCTGTGACCTCACATGTACTCTCCCTTTCCTTTATCCTTCCAATTATATCCAAAAGCATCCAAAAGATAAATGAGTTCCCTTCAAGGACAATCTCCGTGTTTACAAAGAGTTTACAACCTCCACGTTATTTTCCCCATAAAACCAAACCTTTCTCCAGGTTCTCTTCCTCTAAAACACATTTCTTTTAAAAAATCATTGATTTTTTTTTTTTTTAGATTTTTCCTGAGGCTCTCTCTTTCTTGATGCCTCTTGACTTCATTTAGGAGTCTCATCAGAATTTTATTTCCTTTTATTACTCTTGTTTTTTATAGCATCAAACTACAGCCAGGCCTTTTCCATAACCCTGTTTCTGCTGGAGGCACACGTTTTTTAGGCTGCACTTCACACACAGGAAAACAAACCACCATTTCAAACCAGACTATCTCTACTCCAACAGTAACCTTATAGTAACTAATGATCAAGACTACCGGCATTAAAAAATAAAAAATATGATTTATTTCTAATTGCCCTGTAAGCCTACCCTGACACACACACTTCTAAGTTGTACTTACTTCAGCTGCCTGTTCAGTTCTTCCACATAATTCTTTTGGTCCAGTATTGCAGCAATCTGTACATCTCTAAAGCAAGCACAAAACGACACTGGCTTTAACAAGATGATGAATGGAACTGGAAATATGCACATCTACCATGTGCAAATGTCCCTCTTAACTGTGTTTTTAAAAAGAGAGGAAGCAACTTCATCTCACAGTCATGAACCACACCTGAACCACAACAGCTCCAGACTGCAAATGCTCTCCCAGCCAACCACTCCTGCAAAACAATTTAGGATGCCTTTTTGCTCAAGGCAGTGAAATCAGAAGATTTCATTTCTAGGGAACCTGACTTATTTCCACAAAGGACAGGGCCCCAGTCAAGAAACCATTTGTTAATATGCAAAATCCGAGCTGTTTGGTGAGGACGTACCTTTCTTTACCCCCAATGTCATCATCACTCTTCAAATACACGGAGAAATCGATCACCCCAACCTAGAGGAAAGCAAAGGGACAGTTTCATACCATGCAATAACTGCTGTTGGTATTTACAGCCTTGAGATTGGTCCAGTTTCAGCTAAAAATATGAACTATACCATTTTAAATGAGATTTCTTTTTTTTTTAAGTATAAACTCCATACTTACTAAGATTTATATTACATTTGAATAAAATTAACAATTTGCCATGTACCAAATTCCAAAGAAAAGATGACTTCTTCCTCTGACTGAGCCTAGACACAAGCTTAGAGGAAACTTTCATTTAGGGAATTACCAGATACTCCACAGCCCTCTCCCTGGCTGATTATAGAGTGTTTCAGATGATTCCCTGTCACAGCCCACCTCCCAAACCGATGTTATCCCATGTTTTGTTTTACAATATTCCTTGTCAAAATAATACCACCTCTCCACACTTGCTGATTCCCAACTGGGACAACTCAATCCCATTCATTTTTTAAACTTTACTAAATCTGAATCTAATTAATTTCCTATTCAGTTGTCATTTAATCATATATACTATGTATTTAGCATTGCCATGAATTCTGCTTCCAGCTCTATTCATGAATGTCTAACAAAAGTATTTAACCACCTTTGCTTTACCAAACCCCTTCCTTTTGGTCTCCAGCAGCCTTTTCACAAAAGTATTTCAATTCTCTGATCTGCTGCTCTTTTCTGGAGCTCCCTTTAGCTTTTGGATACAAGTCTAACACTTCCTTGGTTTATACCATGCAGTCATCCTGTGATGCTCTTCTACTTGTTCTTTCCATGTCTTTCCTAAAAAGCTCTCCTCCCAAAAGCTTTTTAAAAATGTATTTTGCTTATTAAAGCCAAGCACTATCTCTATAAAAACAAAGGCGAGATGTTCTCTCTGTAAAAGTTCCTTTATTTTAGTTCTCCCTGTCTCTTCTAGTGTTAGATCTTATTTTACACAAGATGGGTGTCTAAAACTGATATTAGATGGTAACTAGAATAAACAATCAAGGACAAGTTAACCCTTTGATCCAACAGCACACATACCCAGTTAGCCATAACTTTTCTTTCCCACAGGAATTGTTTTTCATCAAATATATGCTGCAATACAGCAATAATCACTTAAACTATTAGGATTCTTTCCACAAAGAAGCTGAAAAAAAATACTCAGCACTGAACACAGTCCACATTTATTTATAAAGACTTGTGCATCTTCCTTTAAAGAGAATGTGCTAAGATTTTTTTGGAAAAGATCAAAGTCAAAGCCCGTTGCAAAGCAGGAAGAATTCCAAGTCTCGTTTTGAAGACTGAAAGTAGTCCCAGTTCTCATAAGGTTTTTTATGACACTATGCAAAGAGAGTTTTTGTCCCAGGTCCTTGTACCATTCCTATTATGTTCCAGAACAGCAATAAATGAACCAAGCAGGATAAACTGATCATGGAACACCCTCCAGAGGAGAAGGATGAGTTACACACAGGATGGAAACAACCCTGCATTGCTCCTGTTGCATCCATTTGATGACAAAGCACGAACCTGCACCCTTGCACTGACAATCACCACCACCCAAAGGTCTGACCCATCTGACAGTGAGGTTAATTCAACCGCCCCTGGGCCCCAGGAGCTGGATCATCACACCCTGAACAGTCTCTAGTGAGATTTCTAACAAATCACAACTCCACAGAAACAAAATTCACTGGACATAAACATCTGTCGTGGGTTTGTCAACCAGCCCTCCCCAGGGCTGAAAGTAGTTTTTCCAGGTGGATTTCCGGAGAAAAAAAACAATCAAAAGTTTTAATAACAGCTCTGCCAACTACATATTTAAGAAAACAGAAGAGAAGGCTGTTGGGCAGATGAAATAGGAGCCATGTAGGAGAAGGCAGCAGGCCCCAAGTGGGCCAGGACCCATCTCCTTCCCCTGGGCCTGGGCTGGGGGCAGGTGTGGCACCGAATCCCCCCTGACTGAGACGTAACAGAGTGGAGGAAAAACTCTGAAGGAAGACTGGCTGGATGAGAAATGCTGCAGGGGGAATTCTGGTAGAGCTAACGGAGCCTCCAAGGTCAAAGCTGGCAGCTGGAGGAGAGAGAGGAGAAGCCTGAAGGTAAGGAGACTCCTCTCCCCCCCTTCTCCCTTCAGCAGGGAAGAGACTGAAAACTAAAAATCTCTGCCACCTGTGGAAGATTGTTGGGGAGCGGAAACCCCCCTCTGCAGCTCATGAAGGAGCCCACGCCGAAGCAGAGGAGTGCATGAAGAAGATGTGACTCCATGGGAGGCCTAAAATGAAACAGAGCCCTGCTGGAGACCTGTGGCCCGTGGAGAGAGAGACCTACGCTGGAGCGAGTTGGTTCAGGTAGGATTTGTGTGATCCCAGTGAGGGATCCATTCTAGTGCAGCTGAATTTGTGACCCTGAGGGACAGCAGAGAATGGAAGAACTGTTGCCCAAAGGTGGACTCACATTAGAGAGGTCCATCAAGGACTGTCTCTCAGGGGGAGGAACCTCACAGGAAACAGGGGTGGACTCAAAAGCCATTATCCCCTGTCACCCTGTGGTGAAGATCATGGTAAGACAAGTGTCCCCTTGCAGTCCAGGGAGGACTCCACAGGGCCTGGGTAACCCCCAGCCTCCGGTCTTAGCCCAGGAGGGGGTGAGCCCAGCCCTGAGGTCGACATAGAAGAGAGAGAGAGAGAGAGAGAAAGACAGTTCCAGCTGCAACGAATCGGAGCTGTTGTCCTAAAGATAATAGAAAAGAAACTTTCAAAGTGCTGCAAAATTATTTAAAAGACCTTTAGCTCTGGAAATGGAAAAGAGACTGCTTCTCCTCCTGAACTTATACAAAGAGGGGAGGGGTATTTCTGTAAATACATAGTACTTTTGCCTAGTTAAAACTGTTGTATATATACAGTTCTTTAGTTTTTATCTTACTAGTAAGAAATCCTAATATTATTCTCCCCAATCAGATCTCTTTTGTCTGCATAAATCTTCTCTCAATTTATAGCAATTGTGTGGGGAGTGAGAAAAATTGACCCAAACCAAACCCACGACAACATCCTATGGATTGCACGAACATTCCTTTACCTGTGTTGACTTACTTGAGAATCCAGGTCTTCTCCCTTTACACACAGGTTGGCATCTATCACATTTAACCCAACCAGCAGCCCAACAATTACTGCTCCTTCTTCCTCCATCATCAGGGCATGATACTCATAAAATTCACTGTTTAAAGAAGGAAATTGCATCTTATTGGTGTATTCTTTATATATACATCCAATAAATTAATAATAAGTGACATATAAATTGGAATTGTTTCTCTTTCTGTAACCTACTTACAATGTCCTTCAAGATGAACTGGGCCTGCCCATGCTTTCACCTCATAAATATTTAAGAATTCCAAGTGCATGGTTTGTCTCAGAGGCTATTAAAAACAAAGATACTACCTTTGGCTCCAGAAATCTGAGCCACGAGTTGCTGGATGGCTGGGATGTCTGGGGGCAAGCTTTAATTTGCCTTAAAAAAAAACCAAAACAAAACAAACCAGAAAAGGCTCTTCTGTACACATTTGCTATTAGACATTTTTGAACAGGATACTACAACAGATGGATGTCTGGCCACACTGACTCAGGCAACTCTCATGTTGTTAAGAAGCACTGCAATGCAAGGCAAAAGAAGAATGGTAAAAAAATTACCTTGTGTGAAAAAATGTCTGGACTTCAATGAACACACACTTGAAATTCAAGAAGCCAAGGATGAGATTAAATGGGTAAAAGGCAAACAGGAAGGGTTGAAATGCTAAAAAGGTTCTTAAAATAAAAATACTTTGCTAAAGAACAGCACTTTCTCCTCCTTGCCCTTTTTACATAAAGTTTTAGATTCTATATGACAAACTGTGTTTTCAATGGCAAAGTCCCCAGCAGTTGAACAGCAAAACAACATCCTGACACACCAGCATTACCTAGGCATGCAGAACTAGTCTAAAAAATACGGAACCTTATAGAACTGAAAATCAGATGAACCCCAGAGGTTTTTAGTCCTAATTCTGCATGGTGGAGGAATCCATGATTATTTTTTTTACAAGACTAAACCTCTAAAAAGAAGTTCAGTGCCAAAATGTGACGGAGTGTTTACCTGAGGAGATCTCTCTGAATGATCAGGCAGCGAAGGTAATCGGCCATTTTCTTCTGCATCAGTGCCAAGCGCAGCCAGGCCCGGGCACGGCCCAGGGGTGTCCTGAAACAAGGGCATGGGCACAGATTTATTAATAACACAGTGATTAATTCATAGTCTGTGACATCGGTATTCTGGTAGAGCAATTGGTATTTCTGGAGGGGTATTTTAAACTGTTAGTTGAGTATCACAGATTGGGAAGCCACGATGTTCAGGCTTTGACTCCCAGTTTTGGGGTAACAGAAAATTTTTCATCTACTCAGCTGAGCTTAGGAGCAGACCCTGGAAAGAACAGGACTAGAGAATGCACAAGAGCCTGATAATCTTGAAAGTCCTGCTTTGTGCTGAAGTCAAATGCTTGCAACAGTCCAGGCTTCTTTCTGCAGTTTGTTCATGAAGTTTTCAGAGGAACTGCAAGAAGAGTAATGGAATGCCCATCCCAACTCCCCGTGCCAGCCTGCCTTCCCAAATCCTGTTCTCTGGGCCTGAACACAGACTGAGCTGTAGCTTTAACTCACACTCATGTACAAATTCAGTGCCTTCTTAGGAAGGCAAAGCAAAAAAGATGAAAATGTATGTAAAGGGCAAACATGAATACCCAACAAATTAAACCTGGACCTTTAGCTCTTCCTCTCCTAGTGCCTGCACACTTGGAAGCAATAGGCACATAAATGCAAAAAAACCCACACAAGCTGTATTTGGACAGCAGGAGAATAACATGCTTGGCAAAGGGCCCAAGAACAAATAACAATTTATATGCTTAAGTGCTTTAGATGAGTTCTAAAGCCCATTATAACCCTTACGCTGCCACATCCCCATCCCAGCACAACCAAACCCTTCTGGAATTTCGTGTGCAGCCAATTATCAAGCTTTTCTGCAGGAAAAAAAAAAATGAAACAGAAAAAAATAATTAAAAAAAACCCCACCATACAAACAAACAAAACAGAAAAGCAGAAACACTGCTTTTCTGGCTGGTTTGTACAGAAGAAGCAAAGCCAGAAAGACTCCCCTGTGCTACCCCCCCAGTATCAAAGCTCGCTGTTCCAAGTCTTAACGCCAAATGAAGTCAGGAGCCACCTGGATATTCTCAGTCAGGTCCTTTACTTTCCTGTGTTGTTCTCAGCAATACTTACTTAAGGCCAGGCAAATCTCTGACACTTGCTGCTATTTCCTCAGCTTCTGGATATAGTTTCTCCACAAGTTCCAGAGGACCCCAGATGGTTTTATTGTAACTTAGGAAGGATTTTCTTACTAAGAAAAGAAAAATTAAGTAGCTGAATTAATTTAAATTACTGCTTTCTTCCTGATAGCTGCTGTGACAAAGGGTTAACTGTTGAGTCTAGGCTTCCAGATAACTCCTAATTTCCACACTGGTCAGCTCCCCAGTATCCAAAGCCAACTTCCCACTTACTTTGCTGGGAATGTAAAATTGATGTGCTAGAACAAAATAATATTAAAAGGATGTCCAGCTAAAAATAGATACTAAATACATACATGCAGCTGTGGTAAGCCCTGGACCACTTATAAGAAATGGTGCAGAAAAGTTGGTAAACGTGGAAATACATGTGGTGAAGAATTAATGAAGCTAGTAGTTACAAAAGCTAACAATTTACATAATTTTTAATTCTCAGTGCAACACAACATACTTTTTTTATCTAATTCAAGAAAGAAAGGAAGAAAAACGGCCTGTTCAGGATGAGGTAGAGCCATTCCCACACCTTTCAAGCCGTGCTTGAGGCAGTGCTCCATGACCACGAAGAACTGCTGCAGAGGGGGGTAGTCGGAGTCCAGAGTGCGGCCAAAGCTCAGCGCTGACTCAATGAGTCCTTTGATACTCAGTTTAGCCATGTTCAGTAAGTTGGCCCTTTCTACAGCTGTGGGGTCCTTTACAGCTACGACAAGAGAGAAAAAAATGTGATGGTTCAAGCCTTAGGAGAGAGGCAGGGTAATGAAACACTGCCTGGCTGCCTGTTCAGAGGGAAAGGTACCCAAACCTGGGTAAACTCCTGGGAGCGACTCAGAGAAAAGCACCCACTCCAACAAATGTTCTTACAGTATTTGAAGAGGTGAAGGAAAACCCCAGGCTGGAAATGTCAGTTTAGGTGCTGCCCCAGCCAGTAAGTGCAGATTAACACAGGCACCACTGCTGCACCCCAAACAGTGCTGCAGGACTGCCATCAGTGTCCTTTCCATGGCACCAAAGCAGCATTCCTACTAATGGACATATTCATCTCATATACTACAGTCTACCTACAGAAGCAGGCGTCCTAATTCTTATCTACAATCACTTACTAATTAACTAGTTTTAATTTCACAGTCACACAAACCTTCCTTCTTAGGCTGCACAGTCTCAGCCACTAAACAAGGAAATGTTACATACTGCATACTGAAAACTCAGTTTCTCATCTAGCCACAAAGTATTTGCTACACAGGAAAGCTTAAGAATTAAAGGGTTTGCTTTAAATTGAAGTTTTTGGTAAACTTTACGAAGTATACGCTACAAAACCACATTTGGGGATTGAATTTAGTCAATAAAAAACCCACAGCTTTTTACAGTCATCTTAGTCTGACAGAACGGACAAGGTTCCTCTTCTTAGAGCTCCTGCTACTGAAATCAATGTTCAGGAAAGTCTTAGTTTATTTTCATTTGTAGTGAAGCAGTTCAAACATTCAGGTCAGCCTCTATTTTGTCAAACTTAACCATAGACAAAACAACCCTCTATTAATTCAGCATGATCAAAGTAATCTGGAAAGAAGCAAAAAGAGTTGATGATTTACTATTTAATTAAATCCAAACAAATGAAGCAAAAACACGTGTCATCTTTTTCAAGACACTGAGACAGAGATGTCAGAATATCTAGAAAGATTTGTGTCTTAGAAAAAACTGTGAGCCTGTTCCTCTGGAAATCTCAGTACTGGCATATGACCTTATGTGTTTGCACATCAGAAAGCACAAAGAACCCAAACCATCCTAACAGATGGATATTTTCTCAGTTCCTCAACAGCAGGGGAATGACTTGTTTCATTTCCTGCATACCACATCAATTTACATATTTAGGTATTAGATACTAGAAACTTAGGAAATTACTTTCTAATATTGTGTTTTCCTACGTGCCTTCCAAATACCCAACTACTCTATTACCATACAATATAACCTATTCCTAGGAAAAAAACAAATCACCGAGATGACTTACCTGAGACAACCTTTAAAAACTCCTTTTATAGTCCCCCAGTTCACCACACCTCACCAGAAAACCCCAAACACAGCAGGAAACCACAAGAGACGGCGTTGTGGCACAAACGTGCCCAGCTGGCAGGGACAGCTCCCTGCTTTGTCTTCTGCCTCTCTGCCCACTCAGTGCCACGACTGACAGACCCTGCCCGAGGCAGCATCAGCACAGGGTGCCTGGCTTGGGTAGGTGCAACAAGAGGAGCCTTTCTGTGGGCAAGGCAGATTCCTGCTGCTTTAGGAGGTCTGCTATTGCCAGTACTAAACACAAGTGTTAGCGTAGGAAACGCCTTGCTTGCTGCAGACTCCAGGTGGATGGCTCTGCCTTGCTGCATCTCCTCTCTATTGCCCAAAGCCATCGTACCAATTCCTTTTTCAGGTGACCTCATTTTGACTTTTGGAGCTAATCCTGCCCACAGACAAGACTCCTGTACCTAGTGTCCTTTTAACTGTCAGCCCTCTCCTCTGCTGCTTCCGAGGCAAAATGCATTTTAGGTCTGTTTTAAAGCATGGTCTAGCCGCATATAGCTATTTTTCTTCACCCACCTCTTAAATAAATAAATAAATAGACAGGTAGATAGATAAATAAATAAATAAATTAGCATTTAACGCGGTGTGTGAAATCCTAAGTGCTGCTCAGGTACCGTACGGGGTGCGGCACAAACAGAAGGAGCTCCGGGGACTCTCCTCAGCCCCGAAGGCGCCGTTTGCCGCTGGCCCTGCAGTTGGGCATCACCAGGGCCGTGGCGCAGGGCACGACATCGCTGCCGTCGGGACGGGCAGGACTGCGGGCTGAGCGGGCTCCGGCAGCGGTAGCGGGCGGAACGCGAGCCCGTCGCTCCCGGCAGAGCCCCCGCACGGTCCCGCAGCCCCAGAGACAGCTCGGCCCCGCGCCCCGAGCCCGCGGCCCGCCCCGCTCCGGCCCCGGCGGACCCCCTGCCCGCTCCCCGCCCAGCCCCGCACGTCCCGCCGCCCCCGCCCCGGCCGGCCCCGCTCCCCCGGCCGCGGCCGCGCTCACCCATGGCCGGAGAGGAGGAGCCGCCGCAGCCGCTCCCTGCGGGCCCGCGGCCCCGCCCGCCCCGCACGGCGCCCCCGGCGGCGGGAGGACCCGCCCCTGTCGCCCTGTCGCGACAAAGCCCCCTCGCCGCACACAGCCCGGGCACGGCCGTCAGCAAGAGAGTCGGGGCGGCCTGCGGCACACGGGGCCGCTGACATCAGCTAAGCACAACCAGCAGCACCGACCTGAGCCTTCCCTACCCCTCTCTCGCCGCTGAAAGCTTCAATCCCTGACATTTGTTCCAAATGATAATTCTCCACTGCCGGAAAACGCGTATCAGAACGAGTAGGAAAAAAAAATAAATCTTTGAGTTCAGCACCTTAGAACATAGTACGGTGGAAATAATAGGCAGTATTTGAAAAATCAAGCAAGGATTTGGGGGTTAATTTAAAAGAAAACCGAAACATTAATGTCACCAGAAAAAAAAACCAACAAAACACACTGAGGTGTTAAACATCAAGCATTTTTGTCACACCCAGATGAGATCTCAGTTCGTGCTTACTGCACCCTAAGCACTACATACAATTTGCTTTGCTTAATAATTGTTCTAAATCCTGATCTTTCCCCTCCTTAGACAAGGCTGACCAGAGAGCTGTAGAACAAAAAGGTGTCCTTTACCTTACTCAGCTTCAGAGACTGCACACAAAGCTGCACAGAGAAAGAGGGCCTGCAAGGAAGGACCAAAGGACAAGGGCAACACAGGGCTGGAACAGCCCACAGGGACAGGGACACTCTTTGTTATATATATGTACATATATAAATTCACTATATATGTTCAGAGTGTTTTAGAGCATCACATCTCAATTTTGTTGGAGAATACCAGATCAAAACATGGTTCGTACATGTAGATCCTAAATATAGAAAGAAAAACTCTTCTAAATCAGTATAGGTTGTTCTGAAATTGCTACTATAATGAACAGTACCTTTTACTCTATTTTTTCCACCTTTTGGAAGACCCACAGCACAGACACAGTTGATGCAGTGTGTGTTTTCACCAGAAAAAGGAGGATATCCTGTCAGATACCGAAATGATGTTGAACTGTTAAAAAATATTTGTATTATATAAAGCACGGTATTAACAAAGTTCAAACAACTATAATGAAACAAGCAGCAAACTTTTATTATTTCAAGCATTACAAAAAGTCAGGGAGCAGTGTAAGAGAGTGAAAATGCCCACATTTCAGAAGTTTGTCTGCATCTGTATGCACACAGCTACTTGACATTGATCCCAGAGCAAACAAATACTAATGATTCTGAAGAATCAAGAAAATTGATGTTTCCACCAGCAATCTTGGAAAGAAACTTCTCAGTCTCTTTAGTCTAGAAAATGAGGTAGCATAAAGACACTAACACAGATTTCTCAAGTGGAGGGTGTTTGCTATTATCATATGCAATATGAATATTAATATCTGTAAAAATAATAGAACCTGAGCATGTAAACTTCTCAGTCAGCAAGCTGCAGCTCTGGTTCTGTTTCTTGGGAAAGTTTTGTTTTGAAGACCACAGATCTGATAAACTGAAAACAGAGTTTTACTGGGAAGCATTTCACCTCAGACTGATCTGCTGAACAGTTAATGAAAGGGAATTAAGTCAATCAGCATCACATTGCTCCCTGATGTGTGCAAAATCAAGAGATTAGAAAAGTCCGAGGGATCTTCATGAGGGAGATTAATTACATTATGTATATAAATATAAAACACTTGAGTATTTTAAAAAACAGGAGTAGAGTTCAAAGGAGAATGTGAGGCTTCGACGATGACAAAGACAGTTTTCCTATTTTTGTTCCAAACAGAACAACACAGCACCTTAACTGGGAATTCCAGTGAATGGAATTGCTGTATGTAAACTGCACTTTCAAGTCTTTAGAACCAAATCAGAAGATACCAGTGTCTGTAAAACTTCCCATCTTCACACACTCATAAGATGTTACACTTGTGGATACTTTCATGAGCCCCGGCTGGAAGATTCAAGATGTAGCAAGTTAAGGAAGCATTAGGACAACATATCCCTCTCCCCAAACCTGTTTGAATATGCACTGGGGTTTGCAAAGAAAGCAGCTGACAAGGTTATTTCCTGCTTAAATAAGAGATGGAAACAGCCACAGCTAAAGCTTACTCAGAGCAATGCCAGAGAGGAATGAAAAATGAACAAGTCACCTGAAGGTGAACCTGTTTTCCTTTCCAGTAAGATTGTCCATGAAGCAGATGTGTTGAAGTGCGTGGTACTTCTGAAGAAAGCAATCACACTAAGATGATCACAGAAAAGAATGCAAGAGCATTAAAAATCAGAAATTCAGGCCTCGAAGTTTAAAAATTACATCAAATTTGACTTGCAAATCAGCATGGACTTTTTTCTGTTTCTTGATCTCGAGTGTACTTCTGGTAGGTTTAATTAGCACATTTTGTGCTTCGTAGCAAATTAGTGTTAAAAACACAAGCTAAATAATCCAAGACCTTCCCCTCCTTACTTCAAATCTCAGTAAGGCAACCTTACCTTTCCCCTTTCCCGAACCAGGGTGCAGAAAAAGGATATCATTGCCTGGGACTGCAGGTGGCAGAGGAGCTTCTCCAGGGGAGGATAGCAGCTCAGGGATGGAACACAGCCCACCATGACCAGCTTGTGCTTGGCTCTCGTGATGGCAACATTCAGACGCCGCCAGTCCTTCAGGAGGTGGCCAAGCTGTCAGACAAATGGAACTTGCTTTTATTTGTCCTACTTAATGTAGATAAAACACTCATTTGCAAAAGGCATCTGACTACTAAAGTTGACTGGCACAAAGGTAGTAGGACCAACTTACATTTTCGTCATGACTGTTCCTAACAAAAGACACGATTATGACACTTTTGTCTCTTCCTTGGTATTTATCGACCGTGTTGACTTCCACTCTGTTCTCCTTCAGTTTTGCCATCAGATCAGAGATTGTTTTTAATTGGTGTCTGTAGGGTGATATGATGCCAATGTCTGAAGACCTGCAGCCAGCCTGAATGGAGCAGGAACAGAAGAAAAAACACTGTCACTGCAGTTGGCTTGGGAAGCTCCTCACTGTCCCAAAGATATTGTGTCTACACTAAGTCATCCATGGAACTAGAGGTGTAACTGGTATTAACTAAAAAAATAGATAACATCAGTTACTGAAAGCTCCCAAGCTTTGTCCTAACTCAGCACAAATATATCCATGAAATCCTCATTTTTCTTTGTCAAACTGTGAGGTGAACATTGAGAACTCCTAGTCTGTGCTACTGGATGAAATAAGGAGGAAAGGCAAATCCTCTCCCATCCCTCCCCAGATAGTCCTCATCTCTTAAAAGAATTTGGCATCCAGTTGATTTATTTCACATCCCAAATCCAGCCAGGCAAGGGACAGAGAAGGGAATGCAGAGCCAGGCTCCTCACTGTGCAGTCAACCCTCAATTTATCCTTCAGATTATCCCTGAAAGAATAACCCAAAACACAGGAGTTGCCATTATTGGAGCAATGTTAGAATCATTAGTTACAAAGCTGCCCCTCCAAACCATGCACTGAAGTCAAAGTTACCTTAATAAATAAGGATGTGAGAAAGAGCACTATTTTAGCTTCTGTCACGTTGCTTATGCCACCTTTTTCTGCGTGTTCTGGTGCTGGGACCTTTAAAAATATAAACAGGACATAATTACTTTTGCAGTCTATAATGGTGTTCCATATTCTGATCCCTAACTCATCATATCATATGTGGGTTTATATTAATGGTTTTAATTGAAAAAAAAAGGCTAAATGCTAACTTTTACTAATCAGAAGAGCCTATACTGTAAAGTAACTCAAGACTGCTGCATTTGCAAAACAAGTTGGAACAAATTGCTGAAATGAGTTTCTAGAAGGAGCTGCCACCTTAAGAAACTGCCAAAACCTAAGGCTCTGACTTTACAGCTCACACATGATAAATCAAAACACAACCAAAAATGGGCATTCCTCAGCCTGACAGGGTAAGAGAGCAAATTATATTTTACGTGGGATTTTTGTTTTAATGCTCTTCATGCATCAATATTTACAGGGAATTTTCCCCAATCTGTGGCATAAAAGGATTAGTTTTTTACATGTGTGAGAACCTACATTTAAAACTAAGGCAAGAACTATCCAAAATGGTGGTCTTAAATTGAACTGTCAATCTTTTAAAAGAGTGTTCACTGAATTTACCATTTCTTAACTATTAACTCCCTTTTCCTATACCATGTATGAATGAATGAGGCCAAGAAGCCAAGAGTAAGCTCAGAATGTGAACTCTTGTCATTGCAGTATCACAGGTCTGTAATTTACTCTCCTTGCTCAGCTCGTGCCTTGTCTAAAGCTGAACTATCAACAGCAAGAACTGATGTTGTCCATCCAGGAAACTGGGGTCAAGCAAACCTCTTCATTTGCAAAGAGCCTAAAATTGAACAGACACTAAACTGCTTTCCAGCTCCAAATTCCATTTACTACTTTTACTCATTTCTTGCCATCTTCTACCATAGCCATTCCTCTATTTGATACTGACATAATCCATGTTTTCTTAGATGTCCCTTGATCTTGTTCCACATGTTCATCATATTGAGCTTCCCTTCCCAAGTTTGATGACAGTATTGCCCCTGAAAATGGGAAGTGGTGTAGGGTAACCTAAAACAGCACTCAGAATCCTACTAATGTAATTTTTCAACATCCAGACCTAAGCTGTCAGAAGCACAGACTGACACAGGGTTTGACAGAAAAGAAACAGATTTCCCATTACTGTCACAAACACCTTGCATTGTTACACAGAAAACAGTAGAGGTTTTTTTCCCCTTTTTTAAAAAAGCAAACATAATAAATGTAAGCTTCCTGCTGTTATCACAGTGCTTTTTGCTCTCCTTTCTCCCTGTTTGTATTCCCTCCCAGTGTATTTCTTTGTAAGTTTTTCTTGGTTATACTAATAATACACAGGGGAATAAAACCACTATAAAGTCAAAGAAATACTGGGTTTGTTTGGTCTTGCATTCAGTGGGGCTTTTTCAATTCTCCCCCCTTG